GGTTGAACCCAGGTGGCTTTTTCCTCTGAGCTACATCCCTATCCCTTTTTATTTATTTTAAGGCAAAGTCTTGCTAAATTGCCAAGGTTGACTTCAAAATTGTGGGCCTCCTACCTTATCTTCTCAAGTTGGGGAAGGCATGAGCCATGGCACCCGGGTTAAATGTTTTATTTTCAGTCGGTTTCCAACTTTGTTTAAATATAAGTCACTAAATATTGTGTGCACCTTGGGGCTTGGGTAAAAGTGACTGCCCATTCATTGTGGGTTTGCAAGGAAAGTTGAAGCTTTCAGAAAAGTACAAGTACAGTACTTTGGAAAACTTTGGCCTTGTTTGCTTCCTTCAGTACTGCCATAAATTCCTGCACTCTGCCTATACCTCTATCTCTTATTCTCTTTAGTAAATTATCTCAAATATTATTAAAGTAATTCATGTTCTTGATAAATAATAAATAAAGGAGAAAAGTGAAAATCAAAGTTCTTGGATCTCCTTTCCCTCTGTCCACAATTTCTCATTACTTGAAAATACCATGGTTAACATTTTTTTTTTGTGTGTGTGTATCTTTCCTCAAATATTCCATGTAATCACAAGTATATATTGACTATGTGTACATATTATATGTATTCTTTATTTGAAGTAAATAAAATACATATATAAATACTATTCTGCAACTGGTTTTCACTTAGCACATCTTGAAACTTTTTCAATATCACTTTTGAGCAGAGCTTTTTTTTTTTTTTTTTTTTTTTTGTACTGGGATTGAACCCAAGGATGCTTAACAACTGAACCACATCCTCAACCCTTTTTTTTTTTTTTTTTTTGTATTTATTTAGAGGCAGGGTTTCGCTGAGTCCCTCAAGGCCTTACTAAATTGCTGAGGCTGGCTTTGAACTTGGAATCCTCCTGTCTTAGCCTCCTAAGCTGCTGGGAGTATAGGCATGTGCCACCATGCCTGGTTTGAGCAAACTTTTAATCTTTAATTGACTTATTTATGGATTAGAATTTGATAATTCAACACAAGTATATAATGTGTAATGATTAATTCAGGGTAATTAGCATTTCCATTTCTTCAAACATTTATCATTTCTTTGTATTGGGAAACTCTGAACTCCTGTCTTCCAGTTCTTTATATGGTATATGATAAAATGTTAACTAGTCATTCTTTTATGCTCTAGGCCACTGAAACTTATTCTTCCTATTGAACTATATTTTCGTAGTCATTATCCAACTTCCTTCTAGCCTCCTTTGCTCTCTCCTTCTTTCCTCTATAACCACTATTCTATTCTCTACTTCAATGAAATCAACTTTTTTAAGCTTCCAAATATAAATGAGGACAAGTGGTTTTCTCTTTCTGTGCCTGTCTTATTTCCTTGTTCTCCAGTTCCATCCATGTTGTTGTAAATTATAAGATTTCATTGTTTTTTAAGGTTGAATTTTGTTCCATTGTGTATATACACCACATTTTCTTTGTCCATTCATCCATTGATGGATACCTCAGCTAGCTACCATGAGACAAAAGCAAATCTTTCCTTCTTATAAGTTGTGTATCTCAGGTAGTTTGTCACAATGACAGAAAGCTAACTAACATCTCTGTGACAGATTAATTCTAAGATTTTACACGCCAAACAATATTGCATATACATATATATTTGTATGAATTGTACAAGTATATTCAAAGAGAATATTCATCTCCATGGAATTGCACAGTTCATTTGAGCTTAATTTTTTTTTTACCACTGAAAGGTATGTATTTTCAGGATATGTAACATTTACAGATCCTTGGAAGTTGCTAGTAAACATGATCATATATGTCTCCATAACCTCTATTATCAAGAGACAATTAAGGAAAAAAAAAAAGGACCTTGGAAGAAAAGTCTTTTTTTTTTTTAATTTTTAATATTTATTTTTTAGTTCTCGGTGGACACAACATCTTTGTTGGTATGTGGTGCTGAGGATCGAACCCGGGCCGCACACATGCCAGGCGAGTGCGCTACCACTTGAGCCACATCCCCAGCCCCGAAAAGCCTTTATCTTTACTATTTTTAGAGCCTCCTTTGTCATCTACAATTAATAATTAGCATTAATAGCTATCTTCTGAAACTGAAGACAACATTTCTAGAGACTAAAAATGCTATCACCATATTTAATTCACAATATAATTTAAGAAACTAACATAGTGTTATATTTCCATTATTATCTTAATGTAGAACAATAAGTCTTATATTGACACTCAAAATTAAGTGGCTTGCTGTGTGTATAGTGGTGCATGACTGTAATCCCAGTGACTCAGGAGGTTGAGGCAGGAGGATTACAAATTCAAGGCCAGTCTCAGCAATTTAGCGAGGCTGTAAGCAATTTAGTGAGACCCTGTCTCACAATAAAAAATAAAGAGGGCTGGGGATGTTGCTCAGTGGTAAAGAACCTCTTGGTTCAATCCCCTGTATAAAATAAATAAACAGATAGATAAAAAAATAAAATAAACTATCTAGCTTAGTAATTGCTCTCAAGACAATAATCAGAAAAGATTTTGTCCACTGCTTTGCTGCTGATTCTTTGGACAATATTCTCTGCTTATTTCCTTAAAGGATTTGAGAAAGTCTACTTTGAAAACATGTGAAGACAAAACATCATCAACATACTATAGGACAAAAGTTAGGTTTTAAAAGGGAGAATGGGAGGAAATTAGATTATCAAGAAACTAATTTCAGTGAAACTCAAAAACTTAGTTCTGATCCTCTTAACCAAGTTAGAGAAAGTGGCTGAGTTATAGTCTGCATTTTCTATCAGAGAAGTTCTCAGTCGTATTAGACCCAGGGACTATTTTTTTATAAAAACCATCTTAAGGCTGGGTTTGTGACTCAGTGGTAGAGTGCTCATCTAGCACGTGTGAGGCACTGGGTTCGATCCTCAGCACAACATGAAAAAATAAATAAAGGCATTGTGTCCATCTACAACTAAAAAATATTTTAAAAATTTTAAGGCCTTTTTATTATCCTGAAATGAGGTTTATGAGGGATACAGTTATTCATATTATTTAAAGATGAACATAAAACCATAACTCTAGCACAATAGAAAAATTAAAGGATATATATTAATATCCATATATATATAATGATGATGGTTATATATCATATGTTTGTCCAAGTATGAATATACTGGGAGGTATAATTATGTCACCAGAAGAATCCTATGAGTACAACAGCTACAAATGCAGCCTGGTTTGGGTGTGTGAGCTATTGATCCACCAGCCTCATTGAAGGTGATGATACAATTTTCCTAAATAGTGGAGAACTTTGATTTTGAATTCCTAGAAAATTAAATAATATTGAGATCGAGCAAAACCCTTGTATTTACATGAAAACCTGATTGTTTCCTAGGCTCTAAAGCAACCTTTTTTTGTTTGTTTTTCCTTACATGGAAGTGTGATGAAAAATTTTTAAATGGTGGAGAATGTGGAGCAATTTTTATTTTGTGGGGCTTTCTTGCCCATTCCTGGTCTCTGTCCTCACTGTGTTCCAGCAGTTCTTCCTCCTGCCTTCATAACAATTAATTTGGAAATCTGCTTGGCATTATCTATTAAAATTGGTCACATGCATTTTCTTTGACCCACCAATCTACTAGTTGTATACACATCCAAGATGAGTACATATATTCATCAAAAGTTTTATTGCAGCTGCAATATTCTTTTTTTTTTTTAATTTTTTTTTTAATATTTATTTTTTTTTTAGTTCTCGGCGGACACAACATCTTTGTTGGTATGTGGTGCTGAGGATCGAACCTGGGCCGCACGCATGCCAGGCGAGCGCGCTACCGCTTGAGCCACATCCCCAGCCCCTGCAATATTCTTAATAGCCCCAGATGGAAACAACTACGGTGCCTCTCACAGTGGAATAAGTAAATTGTGTTTATTCACACAAAGAAATAATATGAAAAGTGAAAATGAATTGCTCCTACAACAAAACAAAACAACAACAACAAAACAACCCAAACTATGGATGAGTCTCACAACGTAAGCGACAGAGCCGGACACGAAAGAGTCCCTGCTATGTGATTTCCAAATTTCAAATGCTGGCAAAGCCAATCTATAGTATTTGTTGGGATAATGATTGGATGGGAAAATGGAGCTGCATTTCTGTGGTGCTGATAGTGCTCGATCTCTTCACTTGGATGGGGTTTACTTGGGTAGGTTCACTCTGTGATACCAGCAGAGCCAAGAGCATAAACATAATTCTCTAGGAAGAGATCTAGAGAAGGAAAAAAAAAAAGAAGAAGAAAAAAGGTAACTTCTTTTTCCTCAGTTCTCCAACTTTCTATTTCCTAAGAGGGGAGCCCAGCAAAAAATAGAACCAAGACACAAATTCTCATGGCAGATCTGGCAACTCGAATTGCACATCGCTCTTGACCAGAGGCATTCCCAGAGTTGTCCACGTTGGTTAAGAAAGGGACCACCTTAACCATGAAGGCTCTTCGCTGCCGGGGTAAGAAAAGGAGGAAAAAAAACAAAGTTAAAAATCAAGTTTCTTTCCGTTCTCGCTTCCTCGAGCTCCGGAATCACCCGGCAACCTCGAGGCCGGCTCCTATTAGGGGGCGGGGCCGCCCGGCTGGGGCGAGCCTTTGTCGTGTCCTAGCAACGCGCTCTTCCCCCAGCTCAGCGGGGCCTCGCCCCCTCCAGGCTCCCGCCCACCCTCTCACGGTGTCCGTCACGGTTCGGGTGGGCGCGGATTCCCACACCCTTGGCTCAGCGCCGGGCTGCCTTTCTGCTTTTTGTGGTGGGAGCAGCCTGAGGGCCAGATTAGGGGCAGAGACAGCGAGAAGCAACGTTTAAGTTGACACAAAGGAAAAGAATCAACGAAGTTGGAAATTTTTTATTTTTAAAGCATATCCTAAGCTCCGGGGAGAAAGGGCTGAAGGGTGGGAAAATCATTTTGGTACAAACTCCATATAACGAAGGAAGAAAAGAGACCAATCAGGGACCCAGTATCGAGTTGATTGGGAACTGAGGATGTTGGACACTATCATTCCTGCTCTTCAGGACCTGAGCAGGCAGGTGCTGCCCACGCTGCCCTTGCTGAGCCAGGAGGGTAAGAGGCTTGGGGTGGGGACTCTGGAGACACTGGACCTTCACCTGTTTTGGGGCGTGGGGTAGTGGTGAGGTGGAATACTTATTTTTCTATTCCCTGGCTCCAGCCTGACTTGGAGTGGCGAGGTCACTTTGTTAACTAGCTAGGTATCACATTAGCCATTTGTTTATTTTTAATTGGCTGTCGTAAGCAGGGAATGGAGGCAGATGAGGGTTTTGATTAAACGAAATAATACATATTTATATGTATTTTACACACACACACACACTCACACACACACACACACACACACACACACACAGAGTATTTAGCTAGTGAACTACCACAAATAAATGCTAGCTAAAAACAACCATCCCATTTCATCTACTTGGGACAGATGGAAACCCTGGTGGATACCTAGAGAAAAATTGTTGCACAGGAACTTTTAGATGGCTCCTTTTCAGAGTTCATGCAAAGGCACCGTTGCTTTTGCTGTCCTTGACATCTTGCAGTTTTGTTAAGAAAATGAAATGATCACAAAAAAAAATATTTGATAATTGTTTGAAAGGGGACCTGGGCAGCTTTTCATAGAAGACTCACCAAGCTTGGTTAGTGGCAACACAATCTGTTTTTACTGTAGTTTCTTAGTTGCCTCAAAGTAGACTTTGAGATCTGTCTGTAAGCCATAGGAGCCCTTTGGAAGAAAGGTGTTCCAGAAGTGGAAGCTATTATTATTATCAAGCCAGTGTAACTTAGACATATTGTCTAGATTTTAACCAAATGATTTTAGGGGACAAAATAAATGGTCATGAATTATTCTTTTTCCTTCTCCTGAATTACTCCTAATTTTTCCCATCAAAATAATTCTAAGAGAAGTATTAAAGATAGTATTTGGATTTAAAATATTTGCCATATTTATAAATTATATATATATATATATATATGTATAGTTTTTTGAAATCCTATTTATGTACTGAGCACTAGAGAACTGATGTTGACTAAAAATCTTGAAATTTACAATCTAGTGAGGAAGGTACACATTAATCAAATAATCATACAAATAAATGTGTATTTACATTTGAGGAAAGTGCTATGAAGAGGAAAAATGGTACAATAAGAAGTCCCCCCAGCCCACCTCAGTTCTGGAGATTGAACTCAGAGCCTTACAGACAAGTATTGTACCACTGTACCACTGGTCTACTCCTCCAGCTCTAAATCTTTTATTTTTTAGTCTGTTTTTAAAAACAGCTTTAACTTTGAAGCAAAATTTTCAAAATTTAGAGGAAGGTACAGAGATTTCTCCCATCCCTCTATCCCTGTACATGTATAGTTTCCTGGGTTATCATCATCCCCCACAGAAAGTGGTGCAATTGTTAAAACTGATGAGCCCACGTTGATACATCATAGGTTCAGTCTTATACATTCTATGAGTTTGGATAAATGTAAGATGACTTGTATCCATCATTGAGTGTCATATAGAGGCTTTCCACTGACCTCAAAGTCCTCTGTGTTCCACCTATTCATCCCTACCCCAGCTTCCAATTCCTGGCGCCCACTGATCTTTCTACTGTCTCCATAGTTTGTCCTTTTCAAAACGTTATATAGTTTGAATCATATAGTATGTAGCCTTTTAAAACTGGCTTCTTTCATTTAGCAATATACATTTAAATTCCCTTCATGTCTTTTCATGGCTTACTAGCTCATTTCTTTTTAGTATTGAATAATATTTGGTCACCCAAATGCAGTACAGTTTTATCCATTTGCCAGTTGAAAGGCATCTTGGTTGCTTCCAAGTTTTGGCAACCATAAACATCTGTTTGTAGGATTTTGTGTGGATATTTGTTTTCAGTTCATTTAGATAAATACCAAGAAGGATGATTGCTAGAATGTTTGGTAAGAGAATAAAAAATTGCCAGGCTGACTTCCAAAGGGTTTGTACCATGTTGCACTCCAGCAGCAATCAGTTAAAATTTCTGCTGTTCCACATCAGTGCCAGCATTTACTATCACAGCATTCTAGATTTAGGTTATTCTATTAGGGTGTGTGTGGTGGTAGCTCATTTTTTTTTTTTTGTTTCCTTGTACTGGGGATTTAATCCAGTAGCACTTTACCACCGAATTACATCTCCAGCCCTTTTTGTTTTTTATTTTATTATATGTTTATTTAAAAAAATTAAATTAAAAAAAATCTGGAAATCAGCATGGAGATTCCTTAGAAAACTTGAAATGGGACCACCATTTGACCAGCTAACCCACTCCTTGGTCTATACCCAAAGGACTTAAAATCAGCATACTACAGGGACACAGCTACACCAATGTTTATAGCAGCTCAATTCACAATAGCTAAGCTGTGGAAGCAATCTAGATGCCCTTCAATAGATGAATGGATAAAGAAACTGTAGCATATATACACAATGGAATATTATTCAGAATTAAAATACAATAAAATCATGGCATTTGCAGGTAAATGGATGGAGTTGGAGAATATCATGCTAAGTGAAGTATGCTAATCCCCAAAAGCCAAAGGCAGAATGTACTCTTTGATAAGTGGATGCTGGTCCATAATGGTGGGGGACAAGGGAAAAATAGAGGAACTTTGGGCAAAGGGGAGGGAGGGGTGGGAAAGGGGCATGGGGGTAGGAAAGATGCTGCAATGAGATGGTCATCATTACTCTAGATTCATGTATGACTGCACATATAGTGCGATGCTACATTGTGTACAGCCATAGAAATATAAAGTTGTTCTGCAATTTTGTACAATGAACCAAAATGCATTCTGCTGTCATATATACCTAATTAAAATCTAAAAAAGATTCAGTTGTCAATAGACCTTTATTTTATTTATTTATTTGTGGTGCTGAGAATAGAACCCAGGGTCTTGAACATGCTAGGCAAGTGCTCCACCACCAAGCCACAAACCCAGCCATTGTTTTATATTTTGAAACAAGGTCTCACTGTTGTTTATGGCCTCACTCAATTTCTGAGGGTCTTGCTAATTTGCTGAGGCTAGCCTTGCTAAATTTGCCATCTTCCTGTTCTAGCCTTCCAAGTAACTGGGATTATAGGTGTGTGCTACCTCACCCAGCTGGTTCTGTCCATTTCTGATAGAAGAGATTCAAAATCTCCTAGCACGAAAGTGGATTAATCTTTTGCTCTTTACAGTTCTTTTAGGTTTTGCCTTATATAATTTGATGTTCTGTTTTTAGGTAAATGCATATTAAGGATTATTATATCTTCTTGAATGATTGACCTTGTTATTATATAATGCTCTTCTTTATCCCTTATAGCTTTCTTAGATTTGAAGTCTTCTCCATCTGAAATTAATAGTTACTTATTTTCTCTTGATTAGTGTTAGCACGATCTACTTTTATCTATTCATTTACTTCTTTTTTGACTTAGTGCTATTTACTTTTATTCTTTCTTTTTAGATATACATGACAGTAGAGTGTATTTTGATATCATACTATACATTTACTTTTAATCTATGTCTTTAAAGTGGGTTTCTTATAGACAAGGATCCTTATTTTGGACAAGTTGAAGGGACTTTGTGGGCTGCCCAAGTTGGTAGTTGGATCAAATACACAAGTTCATAACCTTAGAGATAGGGGTTTGAGGAATCTGGACTTATAAATAAACATTTGGGAATCATACTGGGCATGGATGTGAATGCTTAAGCAGAATGTCTAAAGGGGAAGCAGCCTAGGGTCCTAGTTTGAAAAACCTCATCATTTAATGGATCATCCTTGAGGAGGATAAGCCTGAAAAGTAGACTGAGAAGAAATAGCCAGAGAGGTAAGAGGAAACCCGGGAGACAGTATGTCATGACAGTCAAAAGGAGGTTTGCTTAAAGGAGGGGAGTGATCAATAGTGTCAGACCTGATGGAGGGAATCAGAAGAGATGAACAATCAACATGCTCATTGAATTTATTGACCAGTGGTGATTTTAGCAAGGCTTTATTGGATGTATGACAGAGCTGAAATCAAAATAACTGTGTTAATATTCCACAAATGGTGCATTGTAAAGAGAGGAAGATAAACTCTAAACCTCAGCAAAATATGAATGAACTTCATCATTGCATTTGTTCTCCACTGTGTATTCCAACTGCTTTTGTGTTTCACCAAAGTTCAATATTATGTAATTATAGTGCTTACAAGGTCCTGTCATGATTTTACAAATGTAAACTGAGTGAAACCATTAATTCCACAGAGGCAGGAAGGCTTAGGCCTAACATGCAGCATATGGCTCTTTCCTTTGTACTATGCTCTGTGATGTAGTATTTAATATTATTGAATATTTTTTTCTGTTTTTTACATGAATATTTTAATTTTAGAAGATGATTGTATTTTAATTTTTGATATTTAAAAATTTTTGATATTAATATCTATTCTGGAATATGTTATTTTTCAATTTACATAATATACGCTTAGTCCATTTTATAATGATAAGATACTTGTCATTGTGATTGAAAATATGGTTTGAGTCTATAAACTATTTAGAATTTGAAATGAAATGAAGGTTGAATTGAATGCAGAAAGGTATATGTAAGAAATAGTTCTCTGTAACAGTGATTTTTGGTATTTCATGATTAAAACAAATAAGAAATCCAGCTTTCCTTAAAATATAAAAGAGTAGTATCTTATTTAATTTGCTTTTTAGACTGGATTGAGATTCTTTTCATTTTGAGATTTAGTAATGTCCTCTCTGAAAATTTGGAGTGTAAGAATAAATCACCATCTATATAATTTACAAATCTATCACAATTGAATTATAGGGGTCAAAAACTTCCTAAGGAGAGTGTGGATACACGTTTTCCTTTTTTGTTCAGTGAAAAAATAACAAATTTCAGTTAAAACAATTAAGTCTGCTTTTGTACAACTTTGCCTTTTATATTTCATGGAGTAAAACATTAAGGGGGAACTTAAACAAATCATACAAATGAAAAGCTTAGATAATTCTTTTCATTAGGGTTTGGTTGCAAACTATACAGTTTCTCCTGGCCTTAATAAGTCATTTCTTCTGTTGTTAGCTTCCTGAAATCTGAGCTGCATGTCTAGGTGAAAGCCTTTTAGTCAAAACTTTAAGTTTCGACTTAATAACTTTGAAAATTCTCTGAGTAAATCTGGATACTGAGATTTTTATTAGTGAATTAATGACATTTTTGGTTAGAATTAAAATTATAACCCAGTATACAGTTTGGCCTGGTTGAAAGACCTTCTTAGTTCTTAGCAGCCAGCAGGAGAATTCTTTTGGCTACAGGGGCAGGCAGGAGTGGGGAAAGCAGTAGGGTGGACAGAGTGTGGGAAACACCTAGTTACAGAAACTACACATCCAAGATTTAGAGGAAGGGCAGGATCTTTGCCCTTGTGCTCGCTGTGGCATGCAGCCCTGGTTTCATTGGCTGGTGATTACATTTCCAACATCAAACTTATTCCCATGAGAGTAACTGCTACTTCTCATCCAGTTAACCTGCCCCTTCCCTAGCATAATAATGAAAATATTTATTGCCTTTATTTGCTAGGATTAAAAGGTTGTAATTTCCCTGCTTTAATTAGTGGTTTAAACCAGTAAGGAAAAAAAATGATACCAATAAATCAAGCAGTTGTCAAAGTGGGGAAAGAATTGGCTTTTGTCACCAACTTCATGTATGTCCCAAAGTGGCAGTCTGGTGAATGTCACCTTTCTTGATCTTCTACCTTGAGGATTAAAACGTAATACTCTAGATTCACGTAAAGTTCATCATTGGAAAGTGTCTTTAATAAGCACAAGTTTATATTTGGAAAGGGAGATGTCAACATAGACATAATTTTCCATGTTTTTAAACATATCCAGAGCATATATTTATATTGCTCATTAACATTATAGTTATTGGTAACTACCTATTTTCTACCACAGTTTTTTTAAACCACAACATGAGACAAGAAAATAAACATAGAAGGTGTCTTTCTGATCACAGTAGATAGTGCAAAATCTACCCATTAACTTAAAGCAAAACCCTTGGGCCCTTCTTCAAGGTCTGTTTTTTAAAAAGTATTATTCTAGACATAATATTAGTATATTGTTGTTTTCAGAATACAGCAGTCTAAAAGCAGTGACTTAGAACTTGGCAGGAGGTCTGCAGAGCACTAGCAGTAGAGAAAAGTGAGAGCTGGCAATTTCACTGTAAAAAATGAGATGTACACTAGATTGGAGAATCTAACAAAAGTAGAAGTGTAGGCACAGTTAATACACAGATGACAGCCATTCTTGACTAAGTGGCCCTTGGCCTAATTCTCATGTTATAGAATGGTATGAGAATAACTTTTTATATTAATTAGATAGCAGAGTGGACATATAATGAGCATTTTTTTGAATGAGTCATTGAGAAAAAAACTAGATTATGGTTGGTTAACTTCATTTTTAGGATAAAAGGAAATGTGTGACTAAGTTTCCTTTATGCCAGAAAAATTTTCTTTAAAAAAATCTACATTATTATTATTGTTTTTGTTATTAAAATCACACCTAAAGGGGTGGGCATGAGTTATTAGGCAAACTAACTTTGGAGACTGACTTTATTTTCTGTTAATTCTAGATTAATTAGGAATTACTGTCATTTGATTCTGCATTTCATATTTATGCTTTATTTGTTAGCACTAAGATCCTATCACATGGTGCTCACAAAGTATTTTGGTTTCTTTTGAATTTCAGAAGTCTCTACTATTTGGGGGAATGTTTCAGAGTTTGTGGAGCGGCAGCTAGCCCTGCACAAGGTAGGAATTATACTTTTAATGTCGGGATTTGAAGGCTCTTCCTTACGTAGTCTTGTATAATTTGCTGGGAGTGGTATAAAAGTAGGCTTCAGAGCCACCCAGTTTAACTGTCATTGCTGTGATTTTGTGATGTTCACACTTAGGGCTTGTGGAGAGTAGGTTTAACAAATGTGGATTTTTTTCCCCTAGGTAATGATTTTTTAAGTTCTGCTGTTCTAGTGATACAACGTGTAATGCCAATCAGCCTGGGTTTGTGTAAAACTAGACCTGTGCTATTTGTGACCTGATAGTTCCCACACAGCTGTGGAAGGATATAATGTTTCTTGTCTTGCTTCCTTACAGGGAAGGATTTTAATTGAAATACATGAAGACATTCAGGAACAAAACTTGCCAAAAATAAGAAACTTTGCCCAGGGCTAGACTACTTCCTCCTGTCAGGTCGGGTTTGGAAGCCATGGAACTGACAAAAGTTTTGGGAGGAAGATTTGGAATTTTATTAGAGCCATTGGATGAATTACCCTTCAAATTTATTATTATTATTATTATTTGGTTTAGAATTTGAATTACTTATCATCATTTAAAATTTGGAGAGTTTATATAAATTGTTGAATTCTCCCCTCCCTTTTCTTGAAAATCAGTAGATTTAACAGCAGCAGTCTGCTATTCCTGCAGATGACACTTGGCTGGAGCCCATGATGGACTCTCCCCTTCAGATAAGGCCTACACTCCACACCTCCAGTCCCCTGGCTGGCTAGTTAGACTCCTTTGCATTCTTTTATGACTCCTGCAGGCAGTAGAGTTTGTAATGCAGGCAGTAGAGTTTGTAATCCTAGATGTATATTATCTCCCTAGAGATAGAAAACCTAATTTGAGGGCCAAAAACATTTGCTACTATCTGTCAGCCAAGACCACACTACATTGTAGCATATGCCTTGAATGCTGGGTTGTCTGCTTTTAAGTGGGAGACATAAAATCTGAAAGAATGAGAAGCAGAGATTCTCATGCCCCCTTAAATGGCAAGTGATTAAAATTTAAAAGTCATACCAATTTAGGACAAGAGTAATTTTAGATATAGATTTCAAAAAGCTATGGTTTTATGCAATTTTTCATAATCCTCACAGTCTTTTCATGATATGGAGATGAGACATCTGATGTCTGAAAAACATTATGGATCAATATATTTATACTTTAGACTAAATTTATTTGGAAATTTAGAATCTTAAAATGCTACAGCTGCTATAAGGGTTGTAGAGATTATTGGATTTTTAAGGCCTAAGCTTAAATTCTCTTCATGAATTTGGATACAGTAGGACTATTTTTTTTTACTCCTTCAATTAATTATGCTTGTTGCTTTTTTCCCTCTTCTTTCTTTCTTTCAGGGGGTTCATATTTCAGGATTTGGAACTTTCACTTTCACGAGACAAAAGCTTGAAATGGGAAACAAGTTTATTCTAATTCAGAGGCCTGTGTTTATCATGACAGAGAAGTTATTGCAGACTCATGGGCTCAGTCAAAACAAAGTTTATTCTCCTGGTAAATCATATTAATATTTAAGACTTTCCCAGAATGTTATTGGCCTGGGATAAAAATGAAAGAGCAAATCTTGGCCAGTGCTGCTTCATTGGTTTCTAGTTTGAGGGACTCACATTTCACATGGTACCTTTGATAGTGACTGGGATGGGAATATGATAGTGTCTTTCTGCAGGTCATTTTAAACCCCAGTAACTTAAGAGGCAGGTATGAGAATAGGTGATGGGATATGAAGGCAAATTTACCTGAAAACCATGCCATAGAGTTGTATAGACTCTTATTTGTATTTCAGATCCAAAGAAATGTAGAGTGGTTATAATAAAGAGAAATTTAATTGGGGTCTCCAGTTGGCAGAATTAGAGTCAGTATTAGCTGTGAAAAAGTTAAATAAATGTGATTCTATCATATATAACTTAAATTATTGTTATACAAATTTAGAAGTTGAATAATTCCATATTTTATGCATACCTTCTATACCTTTTTTATATCCTGAAATCCAACCTTCTGGGAGCTAGGACTGTAACTCAGTGGGAGAGCACTTTCCTGGCATGTGTGAAGTCTTGGGTTCAATCCCTAGGACTGCAAACAACAAAAATAAAACAAAACTAACCAACCAAACAAAAAAAAAACAGTCTTCCTTCTGCAAACATTTACTGAGCGCCAACTATGTATCAAGCTTTGTTGCAGGTGCTTGAGCTATAATGGTAAACAAAAAAGACATAATCCCTGCCACAGGACACTGTATCTAGCTGTAGCATGTGGGTGTCATGCCATGATTGGTTAGCAAACTTTGGGGCTTACTTCTTGATTCCTAGCTGTGTTCCTTTTGACCTCACTTATTATCTCCTCCTGCATCAGACTCAGAGATGGATAAACGGAGATGTGTTCTATCCCCCATGGCAGAGGTGAAAAACTATAACTTTCTGAAAATTATAATTTTCAATATATGGCTTTCCTGATGAAAAAACAAAATACCAACACACTGTACTTAGAATATATTCACTACAGTGGGTTTGATAAACTTTAAAGCCATTTTTGCCTAAAATTTATAACAGAAGAAATATATTTCATCAAAAACCTACCAAAGGAATTGAAGATAAAGTCATTTTTTCCTTTTCTTCTTCTTCTTCTTTTTTTTTTGCAAAAACAATGGTGCCTTAGATTTAGAAATTATTTTCCATCTTTGATATTTTAATATAGTGAAAAAATTAACTTTTTTAGAATTAATTTTTTTAGAGGGTGAAGAATTTTGGAATTAATGAAATGTAATGAACTGAAGTCATTCAAAACATTTCTGTCTACAGTTTAGCTTTGGTGTTATGATTCCTTATCATTCATCAATCAGATAAGTAATCAAACATCTACTTGTTTTTAATGATTAGTAAGATGTAGTTTTTGCTTTGAAGCACTCAAGGTCTTATCATAGCTAATAAGTATATACTAGCAAATGATGCAGCATGATTAAATGCTATAAAAGCACCACTGGACTAGGGATGTAGCTCAGAGGTAGAAAGCTGAGTTCAATCCCCAGCACCAGGATCAGGGAGCAGCACTGATCAGAAAGGGATTGGACACTATGGGAGTCTAGAAGAGATCATGCCCAGCTTTGCTTGGGGAAGCATGGTTTAAGATGACATGTGAGGAGGCTTAAAAGGTGGTGGGGTGTGGTGATCCATACTTGTAATCCCAGTGACTCATGAGGCTGAGGCAAGAGGACCACAAGTTCAAGTAAAGCCTTGGGAACTTATCAAGACCCTGTCCCAAAATAAATACCAAAAATGTCTGGGGATGTAATTCAGTGGCAAAGTGCCCCTGTATTCAATCTCCAGTACAAAAAAGAAAAAAAAAAGATAGTAGGCTTTTGCTGGCAGAGAAGCTATGGGAAGATATTCCAGTTCCAGCACTGGTGTGAACAAGTCAAGAATATGGGAAAGAGTAAAGCCCATTAAAGAAGTAATGGCATATCTGAGTAGGAGCAGAAGGAGAGAAGTAAGATAAAAATGGCATATGGGGGGGGGTTAGTTGTGTTATTATAAGGACTTAAGAATCTATCCTGTAGGCACTGAGAGCCATTGAAAGTTTTTGAGCAGAGAATTTTCAGATTTGTTCCAGTTTTTAGTTTGGGAAGGTAGCTCTTTTGATTATGGTGAAATAAGGTAAAAGCTTGAATGGAGGGAGTGACATCAGGAGGGAAATGAGGGGTTCTATTCCTGAGACATTTCAGATGTAGAACAGACAGGGCTGATTGAGAGAAATGGATAGCAAGAGGTGGAGTGGTATTTAGGACAACTGATTTCTTGGTTGGAGAACAGATGGATGCTAATGCTGTTAATCACCATAGGAAATGAAGATGAAAGGCAGGTGGTGGTGGTGATGGTGGATAAAACAATGCATTTGCTTTGGGACATGCTAAGTTTTGATTCTTGTTAGGGGTATTTAGGTAGAGATAATTCCAGAGCTTAGGAGAAAGGTGAAGACCAGAGATCAAGATTTGAATAAGTTTACCTAGGAGAAAGAATATAAAATAAGATGACACGGTTACGAACAAAATACTGTAAAATAAATTAATAAACCAAACCCCAAACCCTAAGTATAATAAGGAGTAGAAGAGGAGAGAAGCCAGCAAAGGAGACCAAGGAGCAGGAAACCAGAGAAGTAAGCGTGATGTCGTAGGTATGAGAAAAAAGAGAGTGCAGGCATCAGGAGTTACAGAGAAGACAGGAGAGATGAGATTTGCAAGTATCCCTTGGCTTGTCTCTCATGAAAGATAGTGTCTTTACTGAGATGAGAGCACTGGAAGATAGATTGCAGAGAGGTGAGGGGAGTGGAGGGAGAATCCAGAGGCAGGAAATCTGGCTTTCTCTTAAGAAATTTATATTTAAAAACAGAAATAAATGGAGGGAGGTAGAGTAGAATTATTAAATTGTGAGGAGGGGACACAATATAGTCACTAGTATAGTGAAGCTTATGTCTTGTAGAGCTTTAACCCTTGTCACTCAGCAATACTAGACATTTGAAAATCTAATTCATGCTTTTACAGAATGACCATTTAGAATATTATTATCTTATTTCTGTCCTGTTCCTCCATCAATGGGCCTTGTTATTATCTCTCTTTGGCTTTATCATCTTGATGCTTTTTTGGTTTTACCCCTTTTCTTAACTGTGGGACTTGCATCTCTTCAGGTCAAATAGATCCTGTTCTTCCTTTCAAAGTAGATATAAACTTATTCTTTTGCAATGCCAATTATGGGATCATTAGGGAAGAAAAGCTTTCTTCAAGTCACCCAGTTGGAGATTATCTATCTCTCAGTTATATATATATATATATATATATATATATATATATATATCCCAGTTTCATTTGTGTGATAACTTTTATTGAATCTATCTTTTCAAAACAGACTTTGTAGATATTATAATCATTTAAAAATGATATGATAATTGAAGGAGATATGCAAATATTACTGCAGCACGGCCTGGGAGATAAGGGGGCTGAAAACTTGAGAAAACTCTGATGAAGCTGAGCAATTATTGCTGTCTTCTAGAAAGAAACCAAAAGCTTGTCTAGAGTGATGTTTAGAAAGCTAATTATTCTTCTTTTGAAGATAAAACAGTATACTTTTTGGGAAAATTGTACTGATTAATATGTGTTAACCTGTTGTGTTAGTTGTCTGCAATAATAATATCACGTTGGGTACAAATAAATATTTTACATGGACAATTCTATTATTGAGTACTAAGAGAGAATCAGATAATTATTTGTGAGTATCTATGGTATGTTTGTCATCTCCACTCCCTTTCTCCCACCCTAACTGTCTTTTTCTCCTCTAGGTGATATCCCAGTTGTTCCACTTAATTTTATCATGATATCCCTGGAGAGTCCATTTAACAGGGACACAGTGGAAGGATGTGTTAAGGAGACAATACTTTTTTTATCACGATCCATTTCTATTAAAAAAAATGTGGAATTTACATTCAAAGGAATTGGGGTCCTCGTGATCAAAGATGGCAAAGTGAAGATGAAATTTTATAAGGACTTCCTTTGTAACATGGATGGAAGTGGGACTTTGATCAAAGCCCTAGCAAACGTAATTAATGTTTTCTTCTGCTAACCCCTCTCCCAACAGTAGGTCTGAATCATCTAGGTGTCACATCATTAAGAAAAAACATATTAACATATTTTAAGTGTAAGTTTCTACAAGTTCATGGACAAGCCTGTCAATAGATGATTAACTCTGTGAGAAAAATACAAGAAGGGCAAGGAAGCTTTAAACTAAATTTGAGTCAGTGCCAAATGAGAAATATAAACAGTAATAGAAACTTATAATTCTGGATACTTTATAGCACCTTATAGTTCAAAAGTTCTTCCACATATTTTATTTCATTTGTCTCAAAACATTATAAAAGCTGCATCATAGCATGATCATCCTGATTTACAAGAAAAAATTGGGAGCCAGAGGTTGTGTGGGAGCCCTGAGGTGAGGTCAGGTGCCGGTGGTGCAGTCCCTGGGACTTGAGCTCAGACTTCCTCAATACTTAGTTTTTGCTACATATATTCTTTTATTTTAAAGAAAGTCTATGAAAAACTTGAATTCAAGTCATAGGAATGTGTCTTTAGCTTTTAATTTGCCATACATAGAAGAAATTTTGTAACTGGCATCATCATTGTTAACAATAAGTATCTGGCATGATCTTTATGCCAAGTTGGACATAGCAGTAAAAGTTTAAAGTCAATCCACAGGATTTGTGCCTTATGTACTTCTTAGAGAACTAACAGAGTTGACATGATAAATTGAATTACCACAGAATAGCATATAGCAAAAGTCTGATTTTTTTAAAAGAAAGTTTAGGGGTTTGGGGTTGTAGCTCAGTGGTAGCGCACTTGCCTGGCATGTGTGAGGTACTGAGTTTAATTCTCAGCACCACATATAAATAAATAAAAATAAAGTTCCATCAACAACTAAAAGAAATTTATATTTTTTTAAAAAGAAAGTCTATGAAAATGGCTAAGTTCTACTCATTTCCCACTTCATATAGTTCTGGGATGGAGATTTGGGATATGGGGTTGTATATAATGAGCCTCTTGGTGTTTTTTACACTACTTGGGTCTTATACAGGATTGCTAAGAGTGTAGAAAGTAGAAACACACATGAAAAAAAAAAAAACTGTCATTTCCACAAAAACATAAGGCAAGATTTGCAAATCTGTAAGCAAGGCCAAAGTGGCTAGCTCATGTCTAACCTTGAGGGATTCTACTGAACTTTAGAGCTTCACTCTATGTTTACAAGACAGAAGATAAAATCTTACTTGGCTTGTTGAATTCTAAAGCATAAATTTTAAGGAACATTTTCTGAAAGAACTAGTCCTGAGAAGATATTATTTGATAAAAGGGTATGGAGGCCAAAAGAGATTGAGAACTGCTGATTATATCAATCACTGTCATAGACACAGAGTGGTGAGGCCCAGAGCCCATCAGCACATTAAAGGAGCTGAGAAGTCTGGCTGTAAAGCAGCCAGTTTGACTATAGCCATGTAACCAGAGAACTCATAAGTAGTTCATTAACTCTATGAGCGCTGGTTGTTTTATACTCAAATGTTCTGTAACTTAAACCTGAGAATTGTCCTGGAATAGTCCTCTTGGGAGATTTTATATTTATTTCAGTGATGCTCCTTTTTGATTATTTTAAAACCTCTTTAGGGGAACTCCCTTTGAAGTCTTTTAAAGGCTGTAGCATTCATTCAAAAATGATGATAATTTTTGGATCTAGGGATGTGGCACAATGGTAAAGCACTCACCTGGCATGAGTGATGCCCTAAGTTTGATCGCAAGTACTGAAAAAAAAATCATGAATCATTCTATCCTGATGATGTAATAAAGTGGTTATTTTACAGTGTAATAATTACAACTGCTGCTTGTTGAGTGCTTATTATACACTCACATAGAGCACTTCATGAAAGTCCTATGAATTTGATCCTATAATTATCCCCACAAACCTAGTGTCCAAGGTCACACAGCAGTTAGCCCTGGGATTTGAACATAAGCCCACTTGACTCCAAAACCCTTTTCTAAACTGTATAATTTTAGATTTTTTTTTGGATCAAGGGTAGAATTAGCCAGCTGGCTCAAAAATTCCTCAATAAATTTAGGAAGTCTAGTCTCCCTTCAAGGATGTCTAAAGGAAGGTGTCAGTTGTCAAAGCAATTTCCAAAGAGGAGATGTTTTGAGAAAACGCAGCATCATTGGAATAACCCTGGGTGACTACTCCGAAGAATAAAATTATTCCACACCAGATTTTGAGCTCTGGATTTTAAAATGGCAAACAAAACAACCAAAGAGTATCATGGTACCTCATCTTTGAGAGCTCAGGTGTAACTTTCTCTCTGTTCTGCAGAGGCCCAACACTGTGGACTCGGTGTTGTCAAGCAGAGAGACCTTGAAGAGGCGGCCTGGTAGTGTCCTTTTGTTTCCAAGGTGAGTACTTTGCTCTGAGGGTTTCTCTAGGTACCAACTCTCCTTGCTCATCTGTTGATCTGATCGGGCAGCATTTTTCAACCTATACAGCTCATGCTCCTTTTAATGCACATATATGTATATATATGCACATATTACAGAATAACATACAATTATTATTTTTGAATAAATGCTGTAGCCTACAAAAAGTTTTGAAGGGAATTCCCATAAAGAGGTTTTTTAAAAAATAAGGAAGTAGCATACTAAAATAAGTACAATAAACTCCCAAGAGAATCAGCAAAGAGTTTCTTGTATACACTTTTGTAGTTAACAGTGGTCTTTAGAATATTTCTTTTATAAACTACTTTCAAATTCCTGGAGATTCTGACCCTACAAACCTTAGACCCTGCTGGGTTTCCCTCTATTTATGCTACTTCCTCTTCCTTTGCTTTTCTCTTCCCTCATCCTAGCCCATTTCCCATCTGAGCTCTTCTTCTTACCACTAAACAGGTTGAAAGATAAGGTAGAATAGGGAACAGCTTTATCCAAGGAGTATGGAGGGTGTTGCTGAAGTCTGCTGCTGATAATGTTTATAATAGTGATGATGATAATAATAATGAGAATAGTAATAACAGTTACTATAGAGCACCTACTGGATGCCATTTACTGTTAAAGCACTTTCTCAATATTCTCGAATTTACTCTTCACTGCAACTGTTATAATTTCCTCCATTTTATAGAGATACGAAATTGATTTGGTTAAAAAAAAGTCTAAACAGCAGAATCAACATGGTGCACTACTCAGAACACTAGAATGGGAGTCAGGAGGCTTTGGTTTTATTTTTCAGTGTGATTATCACCCATTTATTGTGTGCTCTTAATTATTTTCTTAATCTTAATTGCTATAACATTAATTACTGTGCATTTCTGGTGGGTAATAACAGCCAGCTTTCCAGAGTTAGTGTTTTCTCATAGATTTGGAGTCCGTGATATCTTCTTGATTTGTTGGTTTGGAACAACCCCATCCTGGAAGAGCCTTGTGACACATATCTCGTTAATTTTTTTAAAAAAAATTATACATGGACACAATATCTTTATTTTGTCTAATTTTACCTGGTACTAAGGTGAACCAGTACTCCACATGTGCAAGGCAAGCGCTCTGCCACTGAGCCACAACCTCAGTCTGACACATACCTCTTTTTTAATTTGTTTTAATTAGTTACACATGACAGTACAATGATCTTGACATAGCATACATTTGAATCAGATGGGGTATAATTTCTCATTTTTCTGAGTGTACAGGTTGCAGAATCACATTGGTCATGCAGTCTCATATATACATACAGCAATAATAATGTCTATTTTATTCTGCTGTTGACACATGCCTCTTAAGAACTGTGATGATGGCCAGAATAAGCCTTAGAGAGTAGTCAATCAAGCCCTCTCATCTTGTAGGTGAAATGGCCACCCAAGTAATGAATAACCATACTAGAAATAAATAGAAATAAGTCCATGAGGTCAAAATCATTTTATTTTTATTCATTTGGAAGGAAAATCTGGCTTTGCCATATTTTTGGCTTATACACTCCAGAAGGAAAATAATTCCAGAGGGTAAAAACAAACAAAAAACAGAGATGGAGGTGCTTGCCAGTTTGAGAGTCTAAAAGTGGACATGAGAACTCAAACACTCAAAATGCTTGTTGGTATTTATGTATATGAAGTTTGGCCCTTGAATTTACTTAGAGTACCACTGTAGCCCTAATTCTAGTCCAGTCCTAATTCTTTGGTCTTTGAGACCAAAGAACCTACAACTACACCACAAACTGAACACCACCTCCCCTCCCAGTGTGCCTTTTCAGGTCCTTCGCATAAGGCGTGCTGTCCACCTGTTGTGATTTCTTTTCTTTTTTTTTTTTTTTTAATTTTTATTGGTTGTTCACAACATTACAAAGCTCTTGACATATCATATTTCATACATTAACCTGTTGTGATTTCTTGCCTTCTAGTTATCCAACAACTCATAATATCTAGTTACAGAACTAAAAAGGACATAGACAAATTCAAACTAAAACCAAAACCAAAAACTTAACCTGAGGCTTTCAAGGAAATTTCTTTATATTCAAGCTGTGTTGAGCCCACAGTATAGTAGGTCCAGGTCTTGGTTGGCTCTCAGAATGAATCTCAAAGAGAGTCAGTCCATGACATGTATTCAGCAAATCAGAACACTCACTCACTTGAAGGAGGAAGAGGGCTCTTTTCAGATTCAGCAAGCGAGTGTTTGAGAGTCCAGGTCCAGTGTAATGGACGAGCATCTTGACTTTTTCCTAGGATTGAGCACAAAGAGACGGAGAACAAACAACCTATGGAGACCATTGCAGAAGAAGGTAGAGAGGATAGACAAAGAAAGAGCAAGTTGAAAGACCAGCCAGAAAAAGGAGATGTCAAAGGTAGGCCATGATTTGTGGGAATAATCTGTCACTCTTTACTGCTCGTGTGCCCAGCCATATTTCTTAGCAACTCATATGCTCAATGTAAATAGGTAGATTCATGAATAATCAATGTGTTCTTTTCTCTAACAAACCTCTATTTCTGGAATCCTGTATCTCACCCTTTAACCACTTTATGTGTCTTAGATCCCATGACTCTCAGACTTCTAGACTATTATCTCTTTGTATCTCTGTAGGCATAAAAACTCAGATGCCTGCAGGGACAAGGCAGGTAACAAATGCATGAAGTGGTCTGTATAGAAGAAGGCAGGGAAACACATTAGCTTAAATAACACTTTTTATGGGGAAAAATGGCAGTTTTATCTCTTTAATGTTGGTAGAAGATAGCTGGATTCTCCTACCTGTGTATGCATTTAATTTGTTGTAAAAAATTGTTTTGGTTGAAGCTTTTGAAGACAATCTGAGGACTTTGAAGACATTTCGAAAGGGTCCTAGAGACCATGCCCTGTGGACTGTATTAGTACTTTGTAAAAATGTGGTTCAAGTAGTATCAAATCTTCTGATTTTTCAAGAAAAGCAAACATTATGACTTTGATACAAAATTGCTGAATGTTGACAATGTTGATATTGAAACAAAAAATGCCTGATTGGGTCCAACAAAACATATTAATGGGTAAACATTGGCTTGTGGGTTTCAATTTTCAAAGTGTGGCTTACAGAATCACATGTAAACTTTTGGCCTGATATTTGTGGTTTCATTTTCCTACCCCACCTTTCTGTTCCCTCTATACACTTCTTTGGGCAGAATTGCCTATGTATGTTCTCCTAGTATGCCTTGTCCTTCCCTAACTGTATCCTGTTCTTTCTTTTCCTCCCAGCTGGAATGCCTTTCCTTTTCTAGAGCTCATCTCAGTCCTTGTCACCTTTTGGCACCCTCTTCACAGTCACGTATCACTTCCTATATAAAAACTACTCTTATCACGGATTCTGAAGTGGCTTCCCTCTTCTCTGAACATATCAGAACCTTAAACTAAGTTGCTATTTACACAATGATGTAAGGGGCTCATCACTGTCAGTGTGTAGTAAATAAGCTGTCACTTTCTTTGCTTATATCAATCTTTAAAAAACAAATACCAAATGACTCCTTTGATATAAGGGGTGTAAACAAGGACAGGGTAGGGACGAAGAGCTTGAGAAGAATATTTACAGTAAACAGGGATGAGAGGTGGGAGGGAAAGGGAGTGAGAAGGGAAATTGCATGGAAATGGAAGGCGATCCTCAGGGTTATACAAAATGTCATATAAGAGGAAAGGAGGGGTAAGTCAAGAGAATACAAATGGAAGAAATGATTTACAGTAGAAGGGGTAGAGAGAGAAAGGGGGGGGGGGGGGGGGGGGGGGGGGGGGGGGATAGTAGACAATAGGACAGACAGCAGAATACATCAGACACTAGAAAGGCAATATGTCAATCAATGGAAGGGTAACTGATGTGATACAGCAATTTGTATACGGGGTAAAAGCGGGAGTTCATAATCCACTTGAATCAAACCGTGTAATATGATGTATTAAGAACTATGTAATGTTATGAACGACCAATAAAAAAAAAAAAAGAAAAAAAATATATATTACTTTTCTCTACATCGGTTAGCTATTGTGATATTTAAGAGCAAAGACTAGCCTCTTTGTAGTCTTTAAATGCCTAGCAGTACTCTTTTTGCATATATGCAGTAAAAGCATTTTTTAAAAATACCACAACAGGGCAAGGGACAATCATTTTTAATGATAACAGAATCTAATGGAAATTTGTCTTGGTAAAAAGAAAAACCACTTCCATTTGCTTTTTATTCTACAGAAACCTTGGCACCCAAGAATATTCGAGATAAACAAATTATGTTCCCAACTAAATCAACCAGCTTGCCAGACCAGTTTGACCACCGTGGGAATGGTGGGACGAATGTAATCTCTAGAAGGTAATGCACTGATATTTTTGGTTTTTGGTACTGGGGATTGAAACCAGGGGCACTTAACTACGGAGTCACATCCGCAGTCCTCCCTCCACTTCTTAAAAATTTTGAGACAGGGTTTTACTAAGTTGCTTAGGGCCTTGCTAAATTGCTGAGACTGGCTTTGAATTTGCAATCCTCCTGCCTCAGCCTGCTGGGATTACAGCAGCAGTTGCCACCGCCCCTGGCAACATTCTTTTTCTGTGGCTTTTAGGTAAATGTAATTTCGAGGTATTTCTTGGTGCAAGGAATTTTAATAATTGCTCATTTATTCTTTTATCCACTATTAGTGAGAACATTCTGTGTGTTAGGTGTTGAGGATAATAGACATGACCAAGGGTCACAATCTAGTGGGAAAGCCAGACATACCTAGAATGAGAGATGACAGTTCAGTGGGAAAAATCTTGTGATAGAGGCAGAAACAAAGTAGCATGGAGGAGGGAACATGTGGCTTTCCTTATGGATCTGGGAAGCTATTTTCCAGCTTTACAATAAAATTCCCTTGCTGCTTTCTGAATGCTTAGATATTCTGATCTGACAGTTTCTTATTTTTTGCCAAAAATAAAGTAAGTTTGTCAAACACCTTTAGTTCTCAGTATCCATTTTTTGAACGAATGAATATATTACAATTTATCATGGCTTTGTCTTCTTCCTGTGGTATTATGTCAACAGATGTCTATTTTATCCTTTTCTCTTCAAGTAGGCTACTTTTCAAGACCTCAAATTAGTCAACTATACTCAAGTATTTATTAAGCACCTATGTACCTTGCATTGTTATCACTTTTCAATTAATGTATTATAACTTATCAGCTATCATAAGTGCAATTTATGTACATTGTGGGATCCTAAAGTCACATTCAAAACTCTAGGCATTTAAAAAAATAATTTCATGTTATGAAAGATAATTGAGAATTAAATGTCTAGTGGGAATTTAGTTCAATCCAACAAACATAAAGCACTCCTGTGTGCTAGGTACTATTCTATGTACTGAAAATACACACCAAAAGATATATAAAGCCACTTTTATAATACTAATAGTTTTGTAGGAAAACTGACACTAGGGGAATAATACATGTGGTGAAGACTACAAAAGTAAGTTTGGAGTTGTTAGTAAAAGTTTCCTGTAGAAGTTAACCAAAAAATATTTTGTGATAATTGCTAAAATAATGCATGTTTATCACAAAAATTTTGAGAAGATGAGAAAAGCAAAATTTACACAAAATATCACTCCTAATCCCTCTACATCAAGGAAAATTGTTAACATTTTAGTGTATATCCTTCATTTCAATGCATACTATATATATGTGTGTGTATGTGTGTGTGTGTGTGTGTATATGTGTGTGTATATATATATATATATATATATATATATATATATATGAAACATAAACATTTTAAGTAAAATTGAGATCATATTATATGAAACTTTGTTATACTTAACAATAAGTGGTAAAGTCTTCCCTGTGTCTTTATATATTTTATAACATTAACAAATGATTGTTTATCATCCTAATAAAAGATTAACCTTTTGTGTAATCAATCTCCTGCTGGATATTTAGATGTATTTCTAGTTTTTTAAATATTATAAATAATGTGACAGTTATAATTATACATCATCCCTTGCACACATCTGAGTATTCCATAGGATAGAAACTTTAAAGTTAAATCTGAGGGAGAAGGGCAAGCCCATTTTGCATGCCTTTGACACAGGTTGCCATTATTCTCAAGAAGTTTGTACCAAATTGTCCTCTGAGCAGCAGTAATGAGAGATTGTCTACAGATTGCTCACCTTGAACCTATTGCCTTAAATTCTGTTCTAGTTAACAATGCACATTTGGTTAGTATTTATCTAGAATACCCTTTTATGCCATTCTTTTTCATCTTTGTTAATGTGTGTTTTATTATTTTATGTGTTATTCTTGTAAAAAAATTTGGATTTTTAAAAACTCAATACAGACTTGAATTTTCAGTTGTATACTAGTATACTTAGACCTATTTTTATCATATTATTTTGTTTTTTATTTGCCACACATTTAACTTTCTTCTTCTTCTTTTTCTGTTTTCTTTTGAAGTGATCACATTTCCTTAGCATGCTTTGAATTTTTTCCAAACTTCACCTTCTTCCAAACCTGTATTTTTCTTGTCTAGAACTTTTATTCCAATTTGCTTTCAAGTGTGTAACTTTAAAAAATATTTATGGCCAATGTCCATTTAGAAATGCCACATGTTTTAATCAATGTCTTTTCTCACCATTGTTTATTATATCCCTGCTCTTTCCCCAGGGTTCACTTTTCTTCTTATTAAGGTGTGTCTTGTAATGGTTCTTTTGGCAAGGTTCTCTTTTTAATACACTTAGTCTTCATATTGCTTATAAAAGTTCTTAGTATGTTGTCACTGGTTCGTAGTTATTTTCCCTCTGCACTTTAATGATGTTGCTCCATTTTCTTCTGGCAGTTGTCCTCATGAGAAGTCTGAGTCAGTCTGGTTGTCATTCTCTGTTGTAGCTTTTCAGAATCTTCTTTTGTAATGTTCTGCATTTTTACTCTTTGTGTAGGAATCATGACTTTCTGGAAAATTCTTAGCCATTATCTTCTAGTATAGCATTCTTTAACATTTCCTTTTTTTCCTAACTCAGCACTCCTATTAAATGTATATTTGAGTTTCTGAGTTGGTTCTTTATTTCTAAACTTATTTTAAAAATATTTTCTTTATTCTCTGTGCTATTTTTTTAAACCTTTACTTTATTTTTATGTGGTGCTGAGGATCAAGTGCCTCATGTGTGCTAGGCAAGTGCTCTGGGTCTGAGTCACAACCCCAGCCCCTCTCTGTACTATTTTTTAGGTGATGTTCTCAGTTGTATTTTCAAGTGAAGTAATATAGAATTAGATGGGCCAGTTTACTTATTTATATTCCCTTCATTGAGTTAAAAATGTATTGAGTTAATAATGTATTAAAAATACATTATTTTCTATATTATATATTTTACCATAATATTTTAATAACAATTATAAACAATTATTTATAATTAATAATTATTTATAATAATTCTATACATATACACTTATTTTATACATAATAAATTTTACATATGCAAATGTATAATATATAATTATATATAAAGATGTATGATATATATATATTTTTATGCATCATATATTTTATTACTATATATTGTGTATTTTTAAAATACTATTGTATTTTATTAGTATAAGTAATAATTTGGCTTTTACAAGTCATTACTGTTTCAATTACATTTTGCACAGACAGAATAAAAAATTACTATAATGTTTCTTTGACAATGTTGGAAAATGTTTACATATATATTACTTGAAACAATAATACATTCTACTTCAAATAATATATGAACATATCTTCAATTTAATTTGGATATTTGCAAAGTGTTTATTACATGCAACATTTGGAAAGATAAAAAATTTCATAAGATATAGACCTCTAGAATTTACAGATGTGGTAAGAGGAAAGACTAAAAAAGAATTTATATAATATATTACCTTATATTTTATTTTAGTGAAATTAATATAAAATACAATGTTTTCTCTATTTAAAAATTTTTTTCTAATCGGTTATACATGACAGTAGAATGCATTTTGACACATCATATATAAGTGGAGTGTAACTTATTCTTCTGGTTGTACTTTACTTGGGATCACACCGGTCATATATGCACATAGGGTATTAATGTTCGATTCATTCTACTGTTCTTTCCACTCCCAGACACCCTCCCCTTTCTTCTCTCCCCTCTGCCTAATCTAAAGGACCTCTATTCTTTCCAACCCCCCCATTCCCCATATTTGTGAATTAGCATCTGCATATCAGAGAAAACAATTTGGCCTTTGGTTTTGGGGGATTGGCTGATTTTGCTTAGCATGATATTCTCCAACTCCATCTATTTACCCGTAAATGCCATAATTTTATTCTTCTTTAAGGTTGAGAAATATTCCATTGTGTATATATACCACAGTTTCTTTATCCATTCATCTACTGCAGGGCATTCATAGTTTAGCTATTGTGAATTGAGCTGCTATAACCACTGAGGTGGATGTATCACTGTAGTATGCTGATTTTAAGTCCTTTGGGTATGAACTGAGGAGTGGGATAGCTGCATCAAATGTGGTTCCATTCTAAGTTTTCTGAGGAATCTCTATACTGCTTTCCAGAGTGGTTACACCAATTTGCAGTCCCACTAACAATGTATAAGTGAACATTTTTCCCCACATCTTCGCCAACATTTATTGTTGCTTGTATTCTTGATAATTGCCATTCTAACTGGAGTGAGAGGAAATCTCAGTGTAGTTTTGATTTGCATTTCTCTAATTGATAGAGATGTTGAACATTTTTTCATATATTTGTTGATTAACTATATTTCTTCTTCTGAAAAGTATCTGTTCAGTTCTTTAGCCCATTTATTGATTGGGTTTTTTTTTTTTTGGGGGGGGGTGTTGAATCTTTTGAGTTATTTATATACCTATCTGAAGTGCAGATGGTAAAGATTTTCTCCCATTCTTTAGGCTCTCTCCTCATATTATTGATTGTTTCCTTTGCTGAGAAGAAACTTTTTAATTTGAATCCATCGCATTTATTGATTCTTGATTTTACTTCTTGTGCTTTAGGAGTCTTGTTAAGGAAGTCAATTCCTTAGCTGACATGGTGAAGATTTGGGCCTACTTTTTCTTTTATTAGGCACAGGGTCTCTGTTTTAGTGACTAATTGGTTTTCTTTTTATTATTGGTCTGCTCTTTCCAGTTTCTCTAATATTTCTGTGAATTTTAAATATGTTTGTTGAAAATTCTTATTTGTCATCAGTTGCTTCATTATTTCCTTGGGTATAAATGACCTCATTTGTTGGGTCTGCTGACAGAGGTGCTATCTTGGCTCTGGAGGACTTTAAATGCTTGACAGTTTTGCTTTGAGAATTCCTATATGTGCCTTGCTGTTAGGTGGTTGTCAAAACATTCAGGATGTACAGTTACAAACCCTAGGCAAATATTTGTATTAATATTTAAAGCCCTTGCTCCGGGCCACCTGGACGATGCTAGACACCATATCCTTGTCTGGTGTGGGTTTAGTTCTTGGTTTCTGAGGAGGTTTCTGGCATCTGTGGGATAAAACACAGAATAAAACTGTGTTTCTGACCCTTGATCAGGAGATTGTAGCAGGAATTGTTCTTTGCCAGTGGCATGGGAAGGAAGCAAAAACACTTGTATTCAGTTAGAAAATTTAGTCAACTCCACCTTCAACACAGCCAGAATGCATCCACTTCTTATCACTTCTGCTGCTTCCACCATGGTCCCAGCTGGTCTCTTTCTCGTTTTATTGGAACAGTCTCCTAATGGCTCTCTCACTTCTGCCATTCCTCCTATTCAGTTTATTCTCAACAATAGCCAAAGAAATCCTGTGAAAATTAGGTGGCTTCATCTACTTTCCCAAACCCTCCATGGCTTCCCTTTCTTACTCAAGCTAACCAGTCAGTGTTCTTATCTGGACCTTCAACCTCCTACCAGGTCTCTGACCTCTCTCCTACTTCTGGCCCCTAAGTCATCTCCCTCCAGCCACACTGAGACAGGCACACTCCCACCTCCAGGACTTTCACTCATTATTTTCTTTTGAAATGAGTTTTGTATCTGATATATCTACCTTGTTTCTCACTTCCTGCAAGTATTTATTCAAATATAGCCTTGGTGAGAACTTCCCAGGTCATTCAATTTATGATTTCACACTCCATTTCTCCAGCATGGCATGGCATTTGTTGTCCTGGGACATACCACAGAGTTCAGTTATTTATCCTACTGCCTGAGTATCCCCATCAGGATGTTAATTCAGCAAGGACAGGGATTATTTGTGTGTGTGTGTGTGTGTTTTGCTATTCCTGTACCTAGAACGGTGCACATTTGGTAAACAACTCAGTACATTTTTGTGGAATGAATACACTTTATCCCTATTATGCAGAATTGATAACTGAGACTTTGCAAGATGACACAGCTTGTCCAATGTCAGTCACTTTGTAAACACAAAAGCTGGGATTCAAATCCAACTTCATCTGACAAAAAGTATAAGTTCTTAACCTTGATATATACAGTTATTCTAGAGAAAAACAGATAATTTTCTTTGTCTTATGTTTTTACTTGCCTCTAAAGTTATTGCTCTGAGGCCAGAGTACATTAAGCATTAATTAATATTGCATTATTTTTTTTTAGCTCATCATCTTTAGCTTTTCTGAAAAATGACAATGAAACAAAGCCCAGAACAGACCTAGCCCCTGATTGCCAGGATCATAAAAGGGCGGGACAGGTACAGTGCCTTCAAACAAACAAAGCCTAGAATCTCCCTCTGACTTCTGTTTCTCAAACATGGTTCTGGGACTCTCTTTCCTAATTATAACATATGGGTGTGGCACAAGTACTCAGGACCCAAACCTGGACTGTGCTAAATCTATCACAGTCTACTATTTCACAGAAATAAGATCTGGAAATGTTTTATATTTTCCAGTTGCGATAAACACTTCTGATTGAGAGTTCAGTAAATCCTTTTGATTATTTGTGGGTCTACTCATTTTGCTAATTGTCACTAATATATTCTTTTGTAAAGTGTGTTTCTTGACACACCCAGCCTTTGGAGAGCTTGTGAAGGGAATGTGAAGGCAAAAAAGTAAAATGCAAAAAATTAATTTGTCCTAAAATTTGGGATTGTAGGAAATGTGCTATGTATGTTTACAACGAGCAAAACGGAATTTCCCGTTGTACTACAGTGAGGAGAGGAGAAGGGGAGCAATAGAAGAAGAACAACTCATACAGCAACATCAAATAATGAAAGATCAGGAGGCTTTCTTCAAATACCAGGTAGTCCAACACCTCAGTGAAAGAACTGTTTTAAATGGAATAGTAGAACATGATTATCAAACTCCATTTAAAATATTCCATCATTTTCTCCTGTTCTGTAACATATCTGATGTTATATACTTATATACTGCTGGACTAAAACTTAGGCAGTGTTCAAGATTTCAACTATAACAAATAAGACTGGGATGGATATCCATGTAGTGGAATACTTGCATGTATCATTAATTTTTTGCCCCCAAAGGACTGAATTTTAAAGGTGGAATTGCTGGGTTTTATTGCTTTATCTTTGATTTATGATAAAATATAAATCTAGTCAAAACTTTTACCTTTCAAATTCATGGTCTATTTTAATCGAGCAAGGACAGAATGGCACCATTATATTTGCTCTATCCGGATTTCTGTGATCACTATAATTGATCCGATTGTCCTCTCCTGATTTGTGATGAATTCTTTCATTCCTTCTTAGGAGCCATGTAGTGATGGTGCCTAAAGTCCAAGAATAGGAAATAAAAAACCTCCCTAACCCACTTTTCTAAATCTCTGAAGACATCAGAAAATACCATTGCCTCCAAATAGGTTTCTTTCATGGTTGGATTAAATGAATATCATAATGTTAAAATTTTTAAAGGCTCTATTCCAATTTGCGATTAAAATGTAAAAAAAATGTTTTATGATAGATTAAAAGTCTGGCTGCTAGAGAACAGAATCAGAAAAATGCTGCCTATAATCTTGGAGTTGCTGAAGCTATAAGAAGTCACAAGAATGAGAAACCTGAATTTTATGTAAGAGTCCTTTTGAAATTTCTGTTGCTAGCAGCAGCTACCCCAACTGTCTTCAGATCCACTCCCTGTATTGCAGGTTGCGCCTTTTAAAATATTTTTCGGTGTTGGGGATTGAACTCAGAGCCTCCCCACATGCTGGGCAAGTATTCTACCACTTAGCCACAACTTCAGGCCTGTTGTGACTTTTTTTTTTTTTTTTTAAGTGACAGAGTTGAAAAGTGGGCTCCATAGGCTTGGAACTTTCTTCTAGGATGGGTGCTTCCCAATGTCTGTCTCCACATCATCCAGAGTCACAGTAGAGTAACTACTAGTAACTGCAGTTCTTGTCAATTATAGCCATTCTCAATCAGGTCCTAGGACAGTTGGTGGGGGGAGTACACTGAAGTCCAGCCCTGGAAGCTAAAGAGAAAACCAGCATCATGACAGGATTGCTGGAAATGTAAAATCTAGGGCCTTATACCAGACTTCCAGAATGGGGATCTACATTAGAATATCTGTGTGTACATTAAAGTTTGAGGAGCCAGCTTCAGATGGAAGAAGCCACTTGCTTCACTGTTGATTTGCTTTTAATCATGTTGTGCCTACTTTCATCTCTGCCTGATTCTTTCTCTTTTTATATCACTATCTAGGTAGTCTGACGCTCTGCACACAAATCTAATCAGATATATTTTCTTTATCCAAGATTTATGGAACTCCTATGGGCCAGCCACTGTGCTGGCAGCTAGGAATACAAGTTCCCTTTTCTAAAGAGGTCTCAGTCTAGTAGGGGAGAAAAGGGACTAAAAGAGAAAAGAGTGTGATATAATAACTGCTGTAATACACCTTTGAAAATGGCCTTCTATGAGTAACAGGTGAGTCACTTAGTGTAGCCCAGAGATCTGGGAAGACTCCTGGCATATAAGAGTTAGGTAAGTGGAGGAAGAACATTTCAGGCAGGGGCAGCAAGGAGGGAGGGGAGAGATCATGGGGCTTTTGACATTTAGCTATGATCTCTCTTGCTTCCTATATATAAATTCCAGATTACATTTATTACTGCCCACTTTGTAGCTCCTCTTTGGTATATCTTTAGATATCTTAAAAAGAACAGAACAGCACTGTTGATCCTCTCCTCAACCTGTTCTTTGCTTCCCCAGTTGGTAAGTGGCATCCCTAGCCAGCCAGATGCTCAGGAGTGATCTCAGGTTCCCCTTTCTTTGTCTCCCACATCCGAGCATCTCCAAGTCCAGCTGCTTTTACCTTTTAAATGTACCCAGTACCTGTTCAGATCTGTTCATCTTCCAGAAGAGCATTGGTTTGCATATCTATGGTTTACATATATTTTAGTGTATTCCCAAGAGATCAGGATTGGAAGCTTGGTCCCCAGCATGGCAATGTTGAGAATTGGTAGGCCTGGTGGGAATTGGTCACTGGGACACTTGAAAGGAATTAAGGTAGTACTCATGGGACCTTGAGTTAATTCTCATATGAACATGTTGTTATAAAAGAGCTAGGCTGACTTCTAAGTTGCTCTCTGGCTCCTGTCTTGTCATGTGATCCCTCCCTCTTCCTGTCTGTGCTCCTACTGTGAGGTGAAATAGCCAGGTAGGACATGCCAGAGCCAGAATCATGCCATTTGGACTTCCCACCTTCAAAACTGTGAGCTAAACAAATTTCTTTAAACAACCCACAAAACACAAATCTCTTCATCTTTTATATTGCCACCCCAGTCAAAGACACATTATAAGGTTCAGCTTCTTCAGTTGGTCTCTCCTTGGACTCATGTCTTGCATCTTTTCCTCCTACCATCTGTTCTCCACACAGCAGCCAAAATGATCTTTTACAATTCTTAACCAAAACATACCACTCTCCTGCTTAATTCCTCTATGGAATCCTACTGAATTGAAATGAAAGCTGAACTTGCTTTCCTCTATCAGACCCTGCCAGATGTCCCTGCCTTCCTTCAGCTCTACTTGCCTATTTTTACTTCTTCCTCCCTGTGCCTCAGCCACATAGCCCTCCCTTCTACTCACTGAACATGCCTCACTTGTTTCCATCTGATGTCTTCACACTTGCTGTTCCTTCTTTATGGGACACAGATCCCACTGATATTTACAGTGGAGGTGATTCAGTCTTCTACAAGGAAAAGCCTTCTCTAGTAAACAACGGATCTAATCCTATTCCCACCTAGTCACTTGCTAGGATAAAGGCTATATAAACACTTATTACTACCATAAATTAGTTGAAAAACTGTTTACTTGTTAATGTTTACTTGTCTCTGGCACCTGAATGCAGGCTGGATGAACCTGAGGATCTCTGAACTCTGTCATTGTTGGAAAGTCTAGAATGGCTGGGCCCATAGTAGATAGTTGGTGCTCTCTTTACACCACCTCTGTCTGCTTGCTCATGCTTTTAAAGGTGCTCAGAATTCTTTCTTCTGTCCCTCTGAACTTTCTAAGGAGTAGCTCAGGAACCACTCCATGGTACTCTTTTTTATCTCTGTCTCAGAAATGGGCTCTGAGCTCAATTAGCTCAGCTTGATTATCGAATGTGCTCATGTTGTTATGTGGGTTCCTTACATGTTAGCTGGCATATTAGAAAGTAAGAAATACTTTCTCATTAATTTTTATTCTTCTGAATCATTAACTTTATTTTTCTGTGTTCTAGGATGAATAAATTGCTTTTCTTTCATTCTAGAAATCCTTCCTGTTTGATAAACGGCCACTTAGTCCTGAGATTAATGCTATTAAGCAAGAGGAATATTCCCAAAGTCTCTTGAGACAAATGGCTAACAGACGGGAAAAGGAAATAAAGCAAAGACAAAACAGAGAGTTGATGGACCACCTAGAACAAGTACAGCTCACAGAGGAGTGAGTCTAGCCAGACGTCCTCTGTGAAATGGATTCAGAATTTCTGTGTGAATTTTTATGTAAGATTGAACCAGCATTGATAGTTTTATTAGCACCACTATAACCAATTGAGCAACAAACTAATCCAGTTAGCAGTCAATACCCTCATTAGAATTAGATGGTATTCTAATTATAATAATGAAAGATCCATCATTATGATTATAATAATAATTGCCAATCTATAATTATTATAGAGTATCATTTTATATGTTTTTTGCTCACCAATACTAGGGTGTCCCATGGAAACTGAGTGAAGAAATGTATGGGAACCCAGGAGGGAATGGAACCAGGGACTGAAAAGGCCTGTACAGTGGCCTTCTCTCTGCTTACACACAGATACTTAGTTGACATACTCTTTTTTTTTTTTTTTTTTCCAGCTCAGACTTGGAGAATGTTAGTTTCAATTTCAAACTTCAGGAAAGAGATCTGATTGGTCTTAATTACCTGAGGCCTTGGATAGGGTTAGGTATATGGAGTTCATATGTGCCTAAACAGGGGAGGGAGGCCCATATTTCTGTTACTAAAGTCAGGAGAGCAATTGACTGAAAAGTATATTCTATAAATGTTCTATAATGTTCCATTGTACTCACTTAATAGATCATATGTGTTTCCTGAAGTTATTATTTACAATAGGGATTACTTTCCTTAAAAAGGACTTTTACAATAAATTAGTTGATAGGTGAATAGTCCCTTACTGCTTTCATATCTAGATTTTTTTTAAAGAATTGGCAGGGTAGTATAGAAGGGGGGCTGCTGTTTCAGTAGTATTTGGACAATATGGTTCTATACCCTGCTTATACCTATCCTATCTGTCCTGTGTTTACATGATGCCCACTTGCCTATGGATTTGAACTACTTTTTCTTTTTCTTTCTTTTTTTTGCAGTTATAGATAGACAGATGCCTTTATTTGTTCAGTTTTTTATGTGGTGCTAAGGATTGAACCCAGCACCTCACACATGCTAGGCAAGCGCTCTGTCACTGAGCTATGGCCCCAGCCCTACTTTTTCTTTCTTAAGATGAAATATCCCATAATGAAACAATTTTTATTTATGATGTCTCAGTATTAATATTTGACTGAAAATGTTTCAATGATGCGAATCTGTGTTGTTAAAGACTCTAAAACTTCTCCCACCTTCTCCTGTTCTTAAATATCAGACTTGCTGCACAAAGAGCCAAATATTTAAAAGATAAAATGGAAGAAACACTGTGTTACAAGACAGCTTTGGATGCTCAGGTAAGGGCCAAGTATTATTATTATTATTTTAAATTTATACAGTTTTTCAATAGCATAAAATATATAAGTACTCTAATATTATGGATACTCTTGGTGTTACACATTTGGTGGGTGTGAACCTTCCTGTAAGGTATTGGTATTTTACCATATTACAGAGTTGTGCATAAAGTTTATTCCATGATAGCATTAAAATCTGCATATGTTTGTTCCCATTTCAGATGAAGAACAGACCCTCTCAGTTACCTGTGTTTGAACCGGACTCCTCTGAGCCCATCTTTGGTAAGAAAAAGACTGACTGGCTGGTGGAAAAGCGAAAGCGAGAACAGGATTACATGAAGCACCAGATGGAAACAGCTGCTAACCAGAAGAGGGAAGCCATTCTGCACCAACTGGTGGATCAGAAGCGGGACTTGGAGATGCTTCAGAGGACAAGAAAAGAGTAAGGAGATCTTGAATCTTTTTTCTCCTCCTTGGCTTCTTATTTTTCCTCCTCTTCCTCCCTCCTCTCTCAAACAACAGCAGAAAAGTAAGAATAATAGATAACACATTGAGGAGTTAATTGTGAAAGACACTGTTCTAAGTTAACCACATTCTTTATCTCATTTTATCTTACAATCCATCCTATGAAGAAAATACAATTAAATAAATAACTTTAAAAGCCCTCTCTTGATTTCATTTCTCCCTTCAGTTCCCTCCTCATATTTTTCCTTCCTGTTACAGTTTAACTTCTTAAAAGGGTTGTCCCTTCCAGCAATATCCATTGGAAGTAGGATGTGAGCCTCAAGTGTGGTGTTGTGCTCAAGTAAATCCAGACATGACACTTGGAAGGGGGTCTTACTCAACTTCCACTAACCTTCCTCCATATGTGAGGGTGTGTGGAAGGTGTCAGGGTAGGCTGAGGAGGACTTATACTGTATCAGTGCACATATCTTTCAGTTCAAACATCAGACATCCCATTTCTTAAAATGTCCAATTGGTCACTGCACCAATGAGGAATTTTTAAAGGTCTTATTTGGCTCTCAGTCTTACAAATCTCCATGGTTCTTCCCTAGTCTTTCCATCATCCATAATCTCCTGCTTCTTATTCACCCAGATTGCTACAGGGAACTCTAGTTTTCCTTTGTGCAGATGTTCAGTAAGTCTTAGATTCTTATTCTTGTTCAGTTAAAAATGTCAAGGTACAAGGAGTTCCAAAAAGGCTCTGTCCAAAGGAATTCAATCTCAGAAGTCAGTTGTATTTATAAAAAAATTATTTATTAAATTTTTGTGAACTTTATAAGTGGTCATAGAGATAGTGCATGTATCTGTTGTGGTCTATACCATGTAGGCCCAGATTTACAAACATGAGTAGATGGAGGTTATGGTGATAAGGGTGGGATCTGATTGTTGATAGAGAGGGGTGGAAGTGGTGAAACACATAATTTCTGGAGTCAAGTCCACCATAGGATAGATATTGCATATTCTCAGCAGTGTATATCTATATATTTGCTAAAATATTATATATTTTTATATTTATTTGATGGTGATTACCCCAAGCCCACAAGTATACCTATTCTGTCTATATTTCCCTAAACCCTCTGGTATCCCCAAACCATATCCCCATGATCTTTCACCTAAATGATGTATACTGGGAACTCCAGACCATTTCCAGTATCTGTTCTGAATGGTTGGTGTGGTTCTACCATTTTATGAGTTGTGTGATATTAGGCAGGTTACTTATCTCTGAAGATGTTGATTTCCTTATCAATTAGGAATAATACAAGTATCTTTAGGTGGTTTAAGGCTAATTAAATAATCCTTGTAAATAACATAGTGTCTGACTCAGCCTAAGTGCCCCCTCAAGGGTAGTTATTACTATTACAAGAAAAAGAAAAGAAGAAAGAGCTTTTCTTTTTCTGGATTATAAATTGACATAATTATTCTCTATTACATCAGCTTAAATCAATGGAAATGGCCTTATTTGGGGTCTTCCCTAGATCTGGCTCCCCACTGATACTTAGTTACTCATTCTACTTATTTTAGAACATAAACTCTGAGTGATTTTGAATATTTTAAAAGCTTTTCATGAGATAATGAATAAAAGTGGTTGTGGAAAATGTCACAGTAGGCTCTCAGTCCCTGTAGGGTGGTAATGTAAATGGTGTGGCTGTAGGAGTTGACAGCAGGACAGAGTGCAGTGGGGTGAAGAGATGGCACTCTACTTTCTATTACATAAATAACTGGAAATGCCCATGGGGTGAGATTATGCCCCTGATTTTGGCTCTACCTCCTGTGTCACAATTTGAAGAGTCTATAAAATTTACTCTGTTTTTTCCCCTGAGCATGCTATTTTATTTTCAACAGATTTCATGGTTTTGAAATCACAAATTACACTGCTTGCAGATTAAAGGATTATAATATAATAATCATAAAAGCTCTCTAGGCATTTTGGTCGTGGGGAGGAGTGATGGTTGCAGCCTAAGAAGATTTGTGAAACATGCCTGAGGGAAGGCACGGCTTTCCTGATGATTTTTTTCCCCTTTTTTTTAAACAACTTTATTGATGTACAGTAAACTGTATGTGCTTAAAGTGTACAACTTGATAAGTTTTGATATAGTATGCACCCACCCATGAAAGGATCACTACAGTCAAGATAATGTACATATTCATCATCCCAGAAAGTTTCTTTGTGTCCTTTATAATTCCTCCCTCATCCCTCCCGCAAACCCTATCTTCAAGCAACCCCTAATCTGCCTTCTGTCACTATGGGTTAGTTTGCATTTCCTAGGGTTTCATACAAATGGAACCATGCAGTATACATTGTGAGTCAATATTTTGAAATTCACCCATGCTTTTGCATATAACAATATCTCAGTTCTTTTTTTTTTAACTGGGGAGTATTCCATTGCACATACATAACATACTTTGTTTATTCATTTGTCTGTTGATGGACATTGGGTTATTTATAGTTTTTGGTGATTGTGAATAAAACTACTCTAAACATTTGAGTGTACATCTTTGTATGGACATATAGTCCCTTCTATCTTGGGTAAATGCCTAGGCATGGCATAACATGGCTGATATATCACAGATACATATTTAACTTTTAAAGAAATTCAAAGTGCTTTTCAATTTAGTTGTACTATTTTCTAATCTCATCCAATAGTGTATGACAGTTCCTCTCCATCCTTGCCAACACTTGGTATGATCAATCTTTAATTTCAGCCATTCTAATAGCTGTATAGTGGTATCTCATGCTTTAATTTGCATTTCTCCAATGGATGTACTAAAAATAATATAATTTAACTTTTGCACTTTTGGTTTCCTAGTATTTTGTTGTTATAACAATTCTGCATTAAATATTCCCTTTTACTCTAGTTTTCCCTTGGGCATGCTATTTTATTTTCAACAGATTTTATGGTTTTGAAATCATAAATTACATTGCTTACAGATTAAAGGATTGTAATATAGTTATCATAAAAGGCTCTGTAGGCATTTTGATGGTGGGGAGGAGAAATGGTTGCAGCCTAAGAAGATTAGTGAAAGCACAAACATGCCTGAGGGGAAGGCATAGTTTTCCTGATGAATTTTTCTTATTTTTTCAAAAACTTTATTGAGATATAATTAAAAATTTTTAATTGACACATAAATTGTACATATTTATGGGATATAGTACAGTATTTCAATACGTGTATATAATGTGTAATGATCAAATCAGGATAATTAGTGTTTCTGTCTCCTTAAATATTTATCATTTGTATTAGTTGGAAGACTTAAAGTTATTTTGAAACGTACCATAAATTGTTGTATACTATAGTAACCTTGCTGTGCTGTAGAACAGCAGAACTATTTTTCCTTTTTATATATTTGTACATTTTTATAACTTCTCTTTGTCACCCCCTTCCTCCCTACCCTTCTTAGGCTCTAATGACCTCTACTCCAGTCTCTTCTATGCAATGTCCTCTAATTCTATCCTGTGGCAACAGCCACAAATGACAGGATTTCATTATTTTTTGATGGCAGATATTCCACTTTATGTACATATCATATTTTGCTTTTTCCTCTGTGACATTTACATTTACTTCTTGGGGGCTGTTGTGAATAGTGCTGCTATCAATATGGGTATGCAAATATCTCTTTAAGATTCTGCTTTCAGTTCTTTTGAATACAAATCTGAAAGGGGGAAATTCTGACAAATGTTACTGTGTGCATAAATTTTGATAACATTACGCTAAGTAAAATAAGCTGTCACAAAAGGACAAATATGTATTATTCCATTTATAGGAGGTATTTAGAAAAGTTGATTCTTAGAAACAGAGTGTAGAATTACAGTAGTAGCTAGGGACTAGAGGAATGACAAATGAATTGAATGGTATAGAGTTTCAGTTTTGCAGGATGAAAAGAATTCTGCAGCTTGGGTGCACAACAGTCTGGATATATTTATCACCTCTCCATCCTTACCAACACTTAGAACTGGTTAAGATGGTGATTTTTTTAAAACCATAATTAAAAAGAACTATGAAAAGAAAAAGAAGGTTCCATTCATTCAGTGAACTCCCACTATTAATGGGCATTAGCACTTTATATTTTTGTCATTTGATCTTTTGCCACATAATAGCTGTGCAGTTAATGCTGGTTAGATAAAAAGGTGGCTGTGCTGTTCTAGGAAAAAGTGAACCAGGGGACAGTGCTGATTTTCAGTGGAGGATTCTGACACCTAGTGGCTGTAGCCACCACAGCACAAGTCTCTTCAGTATAGGCGGTAAGCAGTCACATTCAGTGATGCTTCTTCTAGACTTCAATGAAAACTGACAGTAAAAGTTTCCTTTTGGCAAGAAACAGACACACATAAATAGTTTGAACCAGGCTCACAACAGTAGCGTCAGTGTATTTGGAGACCAGTGGTGGAAACGGGATTAGTGAGACTTTAAGAGAGATTGCAGGGCAGTCACTGCTTTAACCATGGTTCACCAAACATTTCTTTTCCTTCCCCTGACTTCTTCACAGCATAGCATTAGATATTTTCTAGATTTCCTTTAGTCTTGCTGTAGTCCCTTGTGTTCCTTTAATCCCTTTCTAGACCTTGATTTGTATGCCTTTACTTGCAGAATGCCTGTAGCAACCAGTAGGCTGATTACTGACAGCTGAGAAGTTGGAATAAAAGCAAAGAAACAGAGTATAAGAAATCCATTTGGAATGATTCTTCAGATGAGTTAAATTAGCTTCAAAGGAAATTAATGACTTTAAAGGCCAAAGTTGTTAATTGGAAAAAGGTTTCAACCCTGCTAATTTAAATTACTATTGAAGATGAAAGGTCCTAGACTCATAATATTTGACAGCCAGAAGTTTCACTATGCTTTTACAGTGTCCATGCCTTTTAGTATATAGTTCAAAGAACAGTGAACAAAACCAGAAAGTTTTCTGTTTAATTTTACATGAAAGGAATGGGGTTCCCAAGGTTAATGCATGTTCTTTCAAATATTAAGAATGGAGTCAGAATGCTCTTTTCTCTCCAGGTACTTGGCAGACAGAACTGCAGAGCTGGAGAGAGTGAACAAAATGAACCAATGCTTGCAGGAGGATTGGGAAAATAGCATTGCAATAAAGAAAGAGAAGGACCTGGAAGAAAAGTCTTTCGAGCGGTAACATCTGATTGGAACCAGAAGTTTTTTTGAAGAAATTTCCCCTGTTCCTTATTTACTTTCTTCTAGTCCTAGGATGGCAGGTTTCAAGCACCGATTCTAGTTGATCAGTGATGGTTGACTAGAAGATTTAATGGAGAAAGCAAGTCTGTGTTCAGTGGGAAATGTTGCTGTGATTGATTAGAAATGTCTGCCATGAACAAGGGACTAAAGATTGCTGTGTTGTATGTCATGTGTTCACCAATTCTGCCCCAATCTGTGCCTCTGACTAGGGTGGCTTCATTTTCAATTTGTGGAAGGTGGTAGAAATTATTTTTGGAAAAAACTAATTGAAAGCCAGGACAGTGAGTGTCTGACCTGAACACGTCCAATGCTTATGGAATAGTCATTTAGGAGCAGAGTCAAGGGATTTTGTGAGTAAGATTGATACTTGGAAAGATGAGATGCCCATTATGGAGCTAATCCCCTCTCCAGTGGTGTATTTATAATTTAAGTTAGGGAATCTGGGTTCTTGTCCTGGCTTTGATAATTATCACTTACTTTGAAGAGGCAGCTAATCTTTTTGTCTTATTTTTTCTTATGTGTAAAATGGGAAAGTAAATATTTGCCTGACCAAACTAACAGAGAAGTTTTAGAGACGGATTAAGGAGATGGGAAATGGTTACTCTTAGAAATTAAAATCCTTCAAAAATGTAAGGCAGGATTTAACAGAACAAGGAATTTGATGAAACAGACCAAGTCTGCACAATCAACATATTAAAGTCAACCCCAGATATATCAAAATGATAGTTTCAATTGCCAACTCATTTTTATATAGGTAAATTTTGTTACAATGATCTTGATTTGTAACTCCTTTTAGACTTTCTTGTAAGTCATTTCTCACCTACTTTTTAAAATTTTTTTTTCTTCTTTTTTAGTTGTAGATGGACACAATACCTTTTTATTTTGTTTATTTATTTTTATGTGGTGCTGAGGATCAAACCCAGTGTTTCATATGTGTGAGGCGAGTGCTCTACCACTGAGCCACAACCCCAGCCCTCTCACCTGTTTTCCTAATGCGTGAAACATATTGTAAGACTATGAAAGTATGAGGGATGATGTGGAAAATAGGTCCCAAAGAAGAAATGGAGTTGCTTGGCCTAGAGAAGAGGAAGGGAAGGGGAATTGGAGAGCTCAAGCCATTTTTTCAGTGTTGTAGAAAGGCAGGTAAAAGACAGTGAGAGTAATGGTGGGGAAATTTTATTTGGATTTAGTAAAAATGCTTGGTCAACACAGTGATAAAGGATATACAGGAACTAATCTTGAGTGTAGGCTGGCCAACCTGCTCTGGGACATGGTGGAGCAGACTTGTTTTCTAAGGACCTAGGCTAGGCCAAGTTGTGGGTAGATACTGAAGCGCAGTCATCAGATAGGAAGAACGAAGTGGTTGATGTAAAATTCAAAAGTACAATGAACTGAAATCCATTCTTCTGTCATGTGTAACTAATTAGAATAACAACAATAAAAAAGAAATCATAGCAAATACTACAGTGTTGACAGGATTAAAAAAAAAAAAAGCAAAGGCAAAAACACGATTCACATGCATGCAGTTAGCACATGCAATCTGTCCTGTAACAAGGCCAGCAAGGTAGGTCTCCCTTACCCACTTTCATGGCTGTTTACACTTTCTCCTTTTAGGGCTGCCTCTGATGCTCTGGGTTGTCCAGAATTCTACCCTTGTAGACACTGTTGATGGGGCAGGGGAACAACTAGGGACTGGCTTGCGTAACTGGGAATTGTCAAGGTAGATCAGTCACTGCTGCCCCTTCCTCTCTGATGCCATCCAATTTTGTCCCTCTACTTATCTTCACTTTCTGTCCTGCCCTTAACTCTCCAGAAGCTCTGGCCTCTTGAGATATTTCATTGTAAGTGTACTCATAATGCTCCACAGGTGCTGTTAACCAGCAGCTTAATGGCCTGATCTCTCTCTCAAATGCTGTCTCCTGTCTCCAGGAGCCCAGGAAAGAGAGGTGCATCCAAGTGACAAAACAGCAAACAAAGAGGCTTTGAAGCCATTCTTTGCTGACTGTGTGACTTTGGGTACTGTGTTCTCAGTGGGTTTGGGTGGGCGTGACTGGAAAAGAGGGTCAGGCAGACTGTTGCTGTGAAGGTACCAAGTCAGGGGCTTAGATATACTGAAGAGGAGACAGTGGCAATTTGCAAGCAGGGAGAGCCTGGACAGTTTGAGTTGCAGGCAGTAATGTGATGGGAGTCTCCAGCGTCTTGCATAACAACTGCTAACTGCTACTTTCACTCTCCTCTCCTCTCCTCTCCTGTTCCTCAGGGCTTCCAACAAGCTGTTCCTTTTGGACCAGTGCAAGAAGTATCAGCGTTGCAAACAGTGCCAGAGGCGCATGTCCAATACAGGCAAGAGCAACTTGTGGCACATGAACAAGTTCCTGCAAGGCTCCCGGTTGCTTGTATAAAACTCAGTTTGACTTTTGTTTCCTGGGGAACATTTAAATCTTTTACATGTTTGGAGTGATTTTGAAACTGCATATTTTTACCTCAGAGGAAAAAAAAATTACTGTTTAGGTTCTATGCTTTCATTAGATTATTTAGCCTCTCATTGAATTCAAATTGGCTGGTTCTTCCCTCCTGCCTTTTTCCCACCACTACTTATTCCTGGAATTTCTCTTCTATGGCAATGAAATGGCAAATGAGTGGCTCTGAGGACTGGAACCCATCGCCATAGGCCCTGGGAATGGAACCCAACTTTGCTCTGGCTGCTGAGGGACTGCTGACACAACCCTGCCATAAATTTCATTTTTTTCACCCATAATGAATCAATGTCATAATAAATATTTTCTAAGTGCTTGACTGTGCATTATAATTCATAATTTTACCCCCGACCCTTTATTTTTCTAGAGGACTGTGTGTGTAGACATCACAGGTAGGTTAGGCTGTTGGCCTTAAAAGCTCAGAACAATGTGACTGGAGTTTTCTAATTGATGACAAACTGGGACTCTGTCAGGTCCCCAAGGAATATAATTCCCTTGGTGACCTCCAAGTCAAACATTCTGTTGTCCAGCCATTTCTACACCATACATTTATTATGGCAATAAATGTGTATGTACCACGAGGAGAGTGCCTGGCCTGGCAGGTGTCACCTTCTCTCACTGCTTCACTTGTATCCATTCTTAACTCTTTATGAGATACTGAAGAGGACTTACCTCCCTGGTAAGGTATGTCCAAAGAATTTATTCATTTATGTTTACCATTTTACCTCTTCTCCCTCTGCCCAGTGATTAGAGTGACATCTGAATTTCTGAAATGCAAATGCCAGGAAGAAAGTCTCTTATACTACTTGCTTTCTGCCTGCCACATCTGTCCCTTAGAAAATGAGGAGACATTTGTGAATGTTTAGAAACTTGCTTTTGCTTTTTTACAATGAAAAATAGGGATATATTGAATTCTGAATAGTTAAAGAGAAAATACTGATGCAAGCTGAACTTGTCAGTGCATATTGCTAATGTTACCTTTTTGGATGGAATCAAACATGCCTGCTGATGACTGGAATTCTCTTCCCCAACTTTCCTACAGTGCCATCTCCTTGAATTTTTTCTGATGATCACTCCATGGAGGTCTAAGCATCATCAAGCTATATTTAAAACAATAGCCTTTTACCAAGATTGCTCCACCTGCCGAACCCAAACCTGTGTACCTGTGAAGCAAGTCTCTAGTATATAATAAATTATTATAATAATGATGTTGTTTTAATATTAACTAAAATATAGATTGCTTAGTTAAGGAAAAATAAAATTTTGATATGTCACAGTGAACCGACTGAACATCTATGACATTTTTACTGGAGGAACTGAACTTATAATTTGCTATAATTTGAGTAGCAGTACTCTTACTATATGCCAAGTACTAAGGTAATTTTTGGTGACTTGGAGATTAAGACCTTATCAACCACTTTGGAAAGTAGTATGGAGATTCCTCAGAAAACTTGCAATGGAGCCACAATTTGACCCAGTTATCCCACTCCTCGGTGTATATACCCAAAGGACTTAAAATCAGCATACTATGGTATGCCTTAGCCACATCAAGGTTTATAGCAGCTCAATTCACAATAGCTAAGCAATGGAACCAACCTAGGTGCTCTTCAAAAAATGGATAGAAAATATGTGGTATATATACATGATAGAATATTACTCAGCCATAAAGAAAAATGAAATATGGCATTTGCCAATACATGGATGGACATGGAGACTATCATGCTAAGTGAAATAAGCCAATTCCCCAAAACCAAAGGCTGAATATTCTCTTTGACACAAAATAGATGGGGGAGGGAAGAATAGAAGTTCATTGGATTAGACAAAGGGGAATGAAGGGAAAGGAGGGCGGATGGGAATAGGAAAGACAGCAGAATCACCTGGACTTAACTTTCCTATGACAAGACCAGTGTAACTCCAGGTACAACCACAAGAATGGGAAGTTGTGCTCCCTATAAAATGTATTAAAATACACCCTACTGTCATGTATATGTAAAAACAAAAAAATTGTGTAGAAAAAAACCCAGTTCATCAGTCCTTTCCTGCTTTCAGAGCTCTGTCTAGTGCAACGGTGAGATGTGATAGAAGCTTTATATAACAAGGTAAAAACTTAGTAGCACTCTGTATTGATTGTTATGGACCAGCAAGGTGGAGTCCTCCTTGTTCCATAAAGCAAGCTAGGGCTATCTCAATTTTATTGATCTTTCAAAGAGTCAACTTTTGCTTCCATTTTTCTGATTTCCACACTTTCCTTTCTTCTGCTTGCTTTGGGTTAATTTATTTTCTTTTTTGTATTTTATTTAGAAACAGGGTCTCACTGGATTGTTTAGCCCCTCGCTTTTGCTGAGGCTGGCTATGAACTTGCAATTCCTCTGCCTCAGCCTCCCATGCTGCTGGGATTACAGGTGTGTGCCACCACATCCAGCTTTTTCTGGCTTCATTAGGAGGGAACTCAGATTATTGATTTGAAATTTTTCCTAATATAAGGATTTAATGCTATAAATTTTCTTCCCTCTAAGCACTGCTTTAGCAGCAGCCTACAAATTTTGATGTAATTCATTTTCATTTTCTTTCAATTCAAAATATTTTCTAATTTTTGACTTTGGACTTCCTCTTTAATCCATAGCTTATTTAGAAGAACATTGCTGATTTCTAAATTTTTGGAGAACTTTTCAGATACTCTATTATTGATTTCTAATTTAATTTTATTGTCTTTAAAGAATAAATGTGTGATTTTTAAAAACTTGTGATTTTAATTCTTTTAAATTTGTTAAGGTTTGTTTAACCTAGGATACAGTACATCTTGCTGAACATTCCATGTGTACTTGAGAAGAATATGTATTGAGTGATGTGTTCTATAAATGTTAAGTCAGGTTGATTGATAGTGTTATATAGATCTTCTATATCATTGCTAAATTTCTAATTATTCTCTTAATTTCTGAGAGAGGAGTGCTTGAATCTTCAAGTATGATTGTGGATTTGTTTATTTCTCCTTTCAGTGCTATCAGTTTTGATTCACATATTTTGACACAGTTGCTTGGTGCTCACCATTTAAGATTGGTATGTTTTCTTGGTGAATTGACTCTGTTATTATGTAATGTTCTCCTTTATCCATTGCCAGTATTCCTTATTCTGAAATCTACTTTGCCTGGTGTTAATACATAGTCACTCCAGCTGTATTATGATAAAGCTTTAATGGTATATTCCATTTTTTTTTTTTGGTACTGGGGAACAAACCAAGGGCCTCACATATGCTAGGCAAGTGCTCTACCACTGAGCTACATCCCCAACCTTTTTATTTTATTTTGAGATAGGGTCTTGAATTTATGATCTTCCTGAATCAGCTTCCTGAATAGCTGGATTATAGGTGTGTGCCAGTATGGTTTGGCTGATTCTTTTATTCTATCTATGGCATTATATTTTAAATGGATTTCTTATAGATAGCATACAAATCCAATTAAAAATCCAATATGACAATCTTATTTTTATTAAATTGTCATTTGTAATTATTGATAAATTTGGATTTTGAACACTGTATTCTTTTATTTGTCCCCTTTGTGTATTTTTTAGTATGCTATTTTAATTTATCTTTTGGATTCTTGTGGGATAAATCTCTTGATTTTGTTTTTTAGTGGTTGTTTTAGGAATGAACCCTAATTTTTCACTGATTAAATTTGTTTATTTCTTCAAGTAAAATTTAGCAGCTTTATAATCACATAAATTACTTGACCATTTTATCCTTTCTTTGGGTTAAACACGACAATACAACTACATACACTGAAGACCCCAAAAGGCAATGTTATAATTTTTGCTTTAAAACTCATGTAGTTAAAAAAAAACAAAAGGTGGGGGCTGGAGTTGTGGCTCAGTAGTAGTCCTAGGTGGTCAGTTTTTATTTCCCTGTACTTTAAAATTGTTAGCCTACAGTTTCTGGTTCCATGATTTCTGATTAAAAAAAAAATCCAGTTATTTAAATAATTGTTCTTTGTTGGTAATGTAATGTTTTTCTGGCTGCTTTCATGTTTTTCTCCTTATCTTGGTTTTCAGCAGTTTATGATGTATTTTTTTTTTGGTGTGGCTTTTTATTTTTTTATTTTTTAAAATATTTATTTTTTAGTTTTCAGTGAAAGCAATATCTTTATTTTACATTTATGTGGTGCTTAGGATGGAATCCAGTGCCTCAAGCACTGGTGAGCCACAACCCTAGCCCCTGGTGTGGCTTTTTAAAAGTTTATTATGTTAGAGCACACTGAGTTTTTTAAATTAATTTTGTCTTTCACTAAATTTTGGAATTAGTCCAGTATCTTTCTTCCCTCATTTAGGGATGTTGATGAATTACAAAACTTTTTAATATAGTCCAAAAGGTCTCTGAGGTTTTACTCATTATTTTCACCCCCTTTTCTCTCTTTTTCAAATATGAATTTCTATTAATTAGTGTTCAGACTTATTGATTTTTTTTTAAAAAAAACTTATTTTGGAGATGGTGTTTTGCTGTTATTCACCATGACCTTGAACTACTGGGCTCAAGTGTTTTCCTGCTGCAGCCTCCTATGACCCATCATACCCAGCTTTAAATTTTTGATTAATATGTATTAATTGTATATACTAATAAATTTTGGTGTGACATTGTCATACATGCATCCAGCATGCACTGACCAGATCCTACCTCCTATTTTCCACCCTTTCCAATCTCTAGTAATTACTATTCTACATTTTTTAGCTTCTACAGTACATATGAGAGAGAACATATGCTATTTTCTTTCCATATCTAGCTTATTTTAATGTAATTTCCTCTACTTCAATTCATCTTCTGCAATTGACAGAATTTCATTCATTATGGAGAATAATACTCCATCATGTATATTTATACCATATTTTCTGTGTCCATTTGTGTTTGATTTCTGTTACTGTGACAAAAGACTTGAGACAAGTAACTTAAAAGGAGGAAAGGTTTATTTTGGCTCAGTTTCCATGCTTAGTTGATTCCATTGATTTCGGGGCCTTTGGTGAGGCAGTACATCATGGTGGGGCGGGCATGGTAGAACAAAGCTGCTCACCTCACGGCTGAAAGAAAGCAAAAGAGAGGCGGGGGCTAGAGAGCACGTGGGAGTTTCTTTTAGGGGTATGATCTGGAAGGAATCCCCCTATTTCTTACTGTGTCTCTTTGGAAGAACTTAGTCACATGGGCATACCACACTTCAAAGGAAGTTTGGGAAATGAGTATTTAGCTCAATAGCCTGTGTCCAGTGGAATATTTAGGGAATTCAAATCAAATTTAGGAAAAAATAGCTTGTAGTGGCAACTGTCCATCCACCATAATCTGAAATTATGGGGAAACGGAGCTACAAGATAGTTAATAATGTTGGCTAAAATATTTTAAAAATGTAAAGCTTCAAGAAAAGTCTCCAGAAACAGGCAAAAAATGAGAGCAAGAGTCCAGAAAAGAGAGTATCAGCTGATTTCTTATGACCCAGATCTTTTAAAAAATTTGTTCTTTTTAGTTGTACATGGCAGTAGAATGTATTTTGACATATTATACATACATGGAGTATAACTTCCCATTCTTGTGGTAGTACATGATATGATGTTACAACTGGTTGTGGGATTCATATATGAACATAGGAATATTATGTCCAGTTCATTTTACTGGACCTAGACATTTTTTAAAAAAATTAATGCTAAAAGATAAACTTTCATTTCATTTCAACCTTACAGAGTATTCAACATAGTAAAAATAACTTCTCCCTCAGAACTATATGTCTGATGTATCTTTCATTACTCCTGAGTAACTCAGGATACATGTCTTACAAATAAGGGCGTTCTCCTCTGAACCATGATAGAATTAACATAGATTCATTAGTACTATATAATCCAGAGTCCATTGAAGTTTTGCTAATTTTCCCAATAATATCCTTTAAGCAAAAGGATCACATATTACATTTAGTAGGCATAGCTCTTTAATCTCTGTCAACCTGGAACGGTTCCTCAACTTTTCCTTGACTTTCATTGTTGACACTCTCAAAGATTACAGTTCAATTTGGATTTATCTGATTTTTTTTTCTCATAAATTCCAGGAACATATTTTTGGGCAGGAATATCACAGATATGATGCTATGTTCCTTGTACTCCATCCTCTCAGGTGGTACACAATTCAGTTTGTCTTGGTACTGGTTATCTTAACTTTGATCATTTAAGGCTTGTGTCTGTAAGTTTTCCCACTGTTTTGGTTTTTTCTTTGGTGACAAATTAGTTTTTTTGGTGGTAGGCATTTATTAAAACAAATATCCAATTTCACATCAACTTTCACCCCTAGTCTTACATAAGTGATGTTTCTGTGCTAAACAAATGACACTCTTTATGATTGCTAAATAAACATTTTTCTAATTCCACCATTTCTGCTATATTTATTTAGTTTACATTCTACTGTAAGGCAAAGCTTTTGTTTCTCTCACTTGTTTATATCAGTATGGATTCATGGATTTGTTTTTATTTTGATGAGATATAATCCATTCCTATAATTTTTAGATAGAGATCTGGCCAGTGTAGATAAACAGAAATGTAGCAATGATATTAAGAGAGTTTCTTATATACTAATCCATTTTCCCTATTGTTAACAGCTTACATTACTATGATACATTTGTCACAATTAAAGAAATTGAACTATTAACTAAATTTTACACTTCAGATTTCATTACTTTTCCCTAATGTCCTTGTACTGTTCTAAGATTGCATCCAGTATACCACATTACAGCTGTCATGTCTCCATAGCCTCTTATGGTCTGTTTTGTATGTCTGTTTTTCATATTCCGTTCATTCTTGAATACTTCCTTACTTTCTGTCATAACTAGATTTTCAGGGCTACTCTTGTACTTTCCCTGCCCCGGGTCTGGACTCAATGATTTCTCCACGGAGACTTGTAATTTTTTAATAGAAAGTGGTATTTAAAAATCATGATGGGGCAGTACCTGTGTCCATTGCTATGGGACGGTCATTGCTTCAGGCCCTCTTTATTTGCTGTAGGGGAAGTTAAGGAATTCACAAACGTGTACACACACACACACTATTTCTATTCCCATCTCTAAAATGGGAATCCACACTGATACCACGAATTTCAATCTAAGATCAGAATTAATTCTACTTTTTTCCTTTCCATATTTGTAACTTCTGTTTCTGACAGCAAGAAATCCGATTCCCATTATTTTCCACTTCGTACTTGAAGAACTCCTGGTAATCTCTGATCACTACTGCCGTCCCTACTACTGTCTACTCCTCGTGGGCTCTGATAACCTGCAGCCGCTACTACCATTACTAAACATTTGGGTCCAAAAGCACAAAACAATAGGGCAAAAATGATAGCTAAATATTTTAGTTTAAACACAAAGTTTGTTAGACTTAAAAAACAAAAAAAAAAGCTAAACGTTCCCAAGAGGTAGTCAAAACACGAAGCTGACAGACTCCGTAGCTGGAACCTTCTCTTCCTCGTTCCTGTCCATCCACGTTTCTCTTCAGCCTCTTCCAAACTCGGCCCCACCTCCCTGCGTCCTTTCGCGCCACTCTTTCCTGCCAGGAGGCAGGAGACCACGCAGGTTCGGCGCTTCTCCTTCCGCACAGGTTCACCGAGCAGCGGCCGCGGTCACGTTTGCGGGGTCGGGGGTGGGGGGGGGGACGGGTCTCGCTCATTGGCTCTCGGTCCGCTCGACCGCGATTGGTGCGGGCGTTCGCACGTCGCGCCGGCTATAAAAAGGAGGGCTTGTGACGCAGGGCCGTCTGGGCGCGCGCGCACTGCCTCCCTCGAGGCTTTTCTTCCGAGCCGCTCGGCCACGGTAGAGCTAGGTGTCCCGCCGTCGCCGCCGCTGTCGCCGCCGCTGTCGCCGCCGCCCCGCGACGCCCACTACCGCTCCTGGGCCTGCAGCCGCCGCTGCCGCCTGTGTCGCCGCCACGGGACTGGCTGTATGATTAGGCCACAATTTTTCATGAGTAAACATATTCCTTTCTGTGGTGTTCTTGGTCACGCATTTATGGAGTTTCTGAAGGGCCCTGGAGATTACTGCCAGGCACAGCACGACCTTTATGAGGACAAGTGAACTGTAGGAAGATATTACCACTCCTGCAGGAAGCCCTAGTGGAAGCGAGTAACCTGGACACAGAAGTGCTGAAGTCATCTGAGCATTTTACAAGAGTTCTGACTGGATGGGGTAAACCTCCATGCACTTCTTTTCTATTGACTCCATTTTAAGGACTTCCAAGAGCTGCTGTGGCTTGTTAGGAGGTTCCTTTCGTTTCCTGTCACTCCCAACTTCATATTCTGAGCGCTGAGAATTTCATCTGGAGTACGTTGGAGTAGACTTCAGTTTCCTGACACCATTACTGTATTCAAAAAATTTTAATTTTTTCCGTGACTTTTGAAAAACTAGATTAACATGGCTCCAATGAATCGCCCAGCTCCTGTGGAAGTCACATACAGGAACATGAGATTTCTTATTACACACAACCCAACCAGTGCAACCTTAAACAGATTTATAGAGGAACTTAAGAAATACGGAGTTACAACAATAGTAAGAGTGTGTGAAGCAACTTATGACACTGCTCTTATGGAGAAAGAAGGCATCCAGGTTCTAGATTGGCCTTTTGATGATGGTTCCTCACCATCCAACCAGATTGTTGATGACTGGTTAAGTCTTGTAAACATTAAATTTCGTGAAGAACCTGGTTGTTGTATTGCCGTTCACTGTGTTGCAGGTCTTGGGCGAACTCCAGTGCTTGTTGCCTTAGCATTAATTGAAAGTGGAATGAAAAATGAAGATGCAGTACAGTTTATAAGACAAAAGCGGCGCGGAGCTTTTAACAGCAAGCAACTTTTATATTTGGAGAAATATCGTTCTAAAATGCGGCTGCGCTTCAAAGACTCCAATGGTCACAGAAACAACTGTTGCGTTCAATAAAACTTGGCTGGCTGATGCCATTGCCTTGAAAGTGGAGCTTGAGACAGGACTTAATTTATCGTACATGTTAGTCATCATATAGGCTTAGTGAATATAAGTCTAATGAAGCTTCCATAGGAAAATTGAAAAGCCACAAGCTTGACAAAATTGCAACCTCTGTTTTTCTTACTACTATCCCATGCCAGAAACAATATATAAGAAATTTAGTGAGATATGAGGTACCAAGATACCCAGCACAATACTTGTATATTTTTAGTTATACAGAATTAAAATCCCAGGAACTATAAGCACTCTAGACCTTATGTGATTTATTCCTTCAGTTATTTCAGCATTGCAAGTAGGGTCTATATAGTTATTTGCTTGCTTCTTTATGCTTACCACCTCACTTGTGTATGGGTATACATCAGATTTGTGCAACAATTGATTTTGTCCAATTATTACCAAGTCTCATGGTGATTATTTTATGTCTCTGTAGATCTCATGTTATGAAATCCTCCATTTTGGAAAATCAACTTCTGTTTAAAAGTTCATGCAAAATCCACATTGTACAGAAGCATATATGTTTAATGTCTTCAGATAAAGAAGCTTTATAGTAAATGTTTACATTTGGGACCTGAAGACAGACAGAATGGGAGGAGAATATGAAATATTTCTAGTAAAATGTTGCCTTTGTCTTGTATAGGAAGTAGACAGTAGGCTCTTTAGTTAAAAAGAAAAGGTAAACAATGCTTAATTATAAAATTTCTGAAAATCTTGTAATTCTTCCCCATACCCATTGGAAGTTACTTATTAACTATTATTTTAGTTTAAACTGTGATATTTTTCCTTGTCTTCCCAACGAAAAAAGTAGATTTCTACTAATGAATTAATTAGAACTTTAAAATTTTATATACTTTTTTGAACTATAATATTGGGATACTTGATAATTACTTTTATTATGAGATTGATAAAATGGTGATATGTTTTAATGTTAATACAACCATATTTTCATACTGTTTTGGAATAAATGGTAGAGTTCTGTGAGAGAAATAACTTGTCAGCTAGTACAAGAGCTTATATATCTAAATAAAGAATTGCAAGTGAAAGACTTTAAGATGACATAGGTATGTTAATAATGGTAAAAGTAGGAGCAAATGTATTTCTAGATATGAGGAAAATCACAACTGAAAGTTTCAAGAGTTTGAATTCATGAGAAATTACAACATTTCTAAACTTTATGCATCTAATAACATTAATCCAAAAATATATAAAGCAAATATGGACAATACTATAGGGAAAATAGAAAAGTTTACCATAGCAGTGGGAAATTTTACTATAACTTTCAGAAACAAATAGACAAAAATCAGTAAGGATGTAGATTTGAACAAAACAAGTTTGATCCCATGAATATTGAAGGAGCATTGCATTCAACAGTATGAGAATGTGTTCTTTTTAAGAGTATATGAAATATTTAAAAAGTTTATTAAATTTATAAGCAAATTTCAAAATATTTGAATGATTCAGAATAAACTTTTCAGACCATCAGTCAATAAGGAAATAAAGGGCTGCAGATATAACTCAGTTGATAGAGTGCTTGCCTCACATGCACAAGGCCCTAGGTTCAATCCTCAGCACCACCTCCAAAAAAATAAACAAAAACAAAAAACAAAAATCCATACATTTTTAATTTTGAAAAATCTTTGTCTAGAGACTTTCACTTCTAGTCAGGCTTTATTACATTATGGAAGCCCAAGTTGGTGCACACTGCAACAACCAGAAAAATATGGAAAAATTACAAAACTCATAGATTTAAAGATATGTGAGAGCTATGAAAGCAATTAGGACTAGGTGACTAGGAGTTCCAGAGAGGGAGGAACCTTCCTGAGGCAATCAACCTCAGGAAAAATTTCTTTTCTGCATTATTTACTGATTCTGGACATGGACTAAAAAGGATCAGGCTTGGTTTATGCAGAAGGTCTCTCCTGGGGTAAAGAGAAACCCAGAAAAGCTTTTGGTCATGTGGGACTGGTGCAGAAAAATTGGAAATTTGAAAAGCCTGACTGGTTTCTTCCATTGTTTTAAGTTGAGTTCCCCAGGAAACAGACACTGAATCTGAGATTTGCATTCAGAGATTTATTGGGGAGTCTTTTCAGAGATAACACCTGTGAAGGGATTGAAAGAAGCAGAATGGGCTTAGGAAGTTGAATGGTTGATACATAGTTACAGTTCATTCCCTTTCATGGGGAGCTCTGCAAATGGGATGCTTCTTAGAGACATCTGCAACTAAGGTCCTTTGAATTTAGAATCAGCCCATCATTGGATGCAGGCCACAACTGGGAACCTTGGGTGAAGCATCTTCCTTTAGCTAAGTAAGAGCAATTCCCAGAGAGGGTTGCAGCTATGAGCTCTCAGGTAGTAATTAAGTGGGGTTATGAGAATTTCAAACCTGAGTGGTGCCACCACAGCATCCATTATATTACATAACATTTGTTGAATTCTGGGGCTATGTATCAGAAGCTGAGAAGCTAGAATGAAAATTTCCTTAGTGCTTAAGAGAGAACACTGGAAAAAATTCCAATTTCTCCACAACCTCAATACATTATTATTTTTTTAATGATAACCATTGTGGTGACTGTGGAATGGTATTCCATTTTGGTTTTACTTTTCATTTGAGTAATGATCTTTTCATGTGCTTGTTATCCATACACACATATTTTGCCCATTTTAAAAAACTGGATTATCATTGAGTTGTAAGTGTTCTTTATAAATTATGGATCTAATGCCTATATTAGATAAATTAACTGGAAATATTTTCTCCTACTCTGATGTTTTTTCTTAATTCTATGCTTCAAAGTGCAGAAATTTTAAATTTTGATGACATATATCACTTTTCATTTTATGAATCATGCTTTTAAAATAACATCTAACAACTCTCCTCAACTCAAGCCCCAAGGATTTTCTACTTTATTTACTTCAAGAAATTTATAGTTTCAGCTTTTACATTTAGTATACTATCCATTTCAAGTTAATTTTTGTGTGTGGTATGAGGTGTCAAAAGTTTTTCTTTCCTAGTTTCATGTGGATATACAGTTGCTTCAGCATCATTTTTTCAAAGGTCTCTCCTTTTCCTATCAAATTATCTCAGTAGCTTTGATGAAAAATCAATTTACCATAATTTTAAGGACTATTTTCAAACTATCAGTTTTTTTTCATTAAATGTCCACACAGTCTTGATCATTGTACAATTGTGTAAGTTTTGAAAGTGAATAGTGTATACTTTGTTCTTTTTCTTTTTAAAATGTGGCTATTCTTGGTTCTTTGCATTTCCATATATAGTTTAGGATCATCTTGTCAATTTCTGCAAAACAGACAAAAACCTTGTGGGTGTTTGGGACATGATGGCAAAGAAGATAGTGTAAATAGTTCTCTGAAGTTCAGATTTTGGTTTCATTCTTTAAACCCTCTTCTGAATAGTTTCTCATTCTGTGTGAGCTCAGGAATAATAGAGGAGGGATAATTTCTTAGGATATTCTTGGCTGAACACCGGAACCAAGGACGCAGATGTTAAACAGAATGAAATTTGAGAAAGAGGTGATTGATAGCTTTGCTAATTACTCTTCTAGAAGTGTAATAGTCCACCTTGCTTGTCACTGAGAAGTGGTCATGTAGGACTTATTCCTTGTGGGAAGTGGGGAACCTAAGGCTGAGGTGGTAGTAGGGGCAGGTTCCTAAAGGTGATTTATACAAAGAAATTAGAGATTGGAAGCTGCTATCCCCATAGATCTTAGCAGGGGCTGCAACCTCTATCTCATCCTTACTTCCCATGGTGTGGGCTTTGCTGGACATGAGGGAAGTGGTTAGTGCTGAACTTGGTCTAAGAAATACTTAGGACAACAAATTAGAACAAACACATTTTAAAAAATAAACAAAATACAAAATAGGGTTGGGGATGTGGCTCAGTGGTCGAGTGCCCCTGAATTCAATCCCTAGTATCTGCAAAAAAAAAAAAAAAAAAAAAAAAACCCAACCCAAACCAAACCAAACCAAACCAAAAAAACAGAAAATACCTAGGACAGTCTGACATCACCTCTACAGGAAAGCTGTTACTGATTGCTCAATTATTTCAGAGGGTAAAGGATGGAAGAGAGAGTGCATTCCAGAGCCAGTAAAATGAAGTTCCTTAGAACTTCCCATTCACTCTCACCTCATTGCCTCTCTTCCCCCTCACTCACTGGTATGCTGACCCTCCACACCCACATTTCTCTGGTTTTTCTTTTAGTAATAACCTAAAAAGAATGTTTATTACCCAACAGTCTATTGGGCAGTAAGCATTCCTAACTAGCTACTGAACTACCTCCAGTTACTCAGCCCTCATACCCTGCTGACTCTTGAGGGCAGTGTTCAGTCCCTCTGGCAGGGACTAATGGGTGGGCCACATTTTCTGGCTAGTGACTGTGCTTATATTCCTCATCTCACCATGACTCCCACCCATCCTTCACTGTTGGGACTCAGTGCAAAAAACTGCTCCCATCTCCCTGAGCCTATGTGCTCATAGGAAGTATTTTCTCCCTTCTGTGAGCACCCTTGACTTCTACCTGCACATTTTTCATGATTTGTGTTCAATCTCCTCTACTAGGTCCTGAGCTCTATAAACACGGGATTCTAGGCAGGATTCGGTATTTCCCACCAGGCCTAGACAATAGTTGGCAATTAGTGGATGAAGAAATGCTTGGGAAAGAATTCTGAAAAGGGTCATAGGAAAGTGAACTCCCAGGACCTTTAGGCACAAGGCTGTCATTCACTGTATGCCTCAGCATCTCCCCTTACATCAGAATACTCAAAGGAAACACACACACACACACACACACAGACAAGGATGACCATTTTGGAACCTATTTATATTGTGGGTGTTACTCTGGGCTTCATCCAGCCCCATACCAGCCCTTGAGACTCATCAGACTGTCTGAAAATTCATGGCTTCCTTGGGCCAACTGTAGCTGTCCAGTGTAAATGAGTCATAG